GTTCGTAATTATTTCTTTGAATAATGTTACTCTTAAAAATGTTATATTATAAACTCTCCGAGAGCGATTTCGGCTTGAATATTGAGTTTATGTACCGCCTGATGCTAAGGCGACATCAGTTGCGTTGCGGATATTGAATGAACTATAACAAAAACATCAAAACCGTTATCGCTATCTGAAAGATTTATCAAACTCTTGGTGTCGTAGCTATACGAAATGTCGTACATTATTACATCTCCATCTAATCTTATTATGGAAGAGCTGGGAACCCTGACACAGGTATTTTTTTAGTTCAAAAGTCGAAAGTCGAAATCTTTTATTCATATAGGTAACACAATGTACACTTATGAACGTCAAAAAAGAAATATACATTAAATACTTCTAATTTTACATTTACTGCAAGTTCTCAAATCAAGGGCGTAGAACGGAAGAGTAGAACTGGCAATACACTCTCCGCCACTCTTTAATCGCCAAGTTTTTTGTTTAACACAATGTTTGTAAGGAGCTGCAACCGTTACACCATGTTCCACATGATATCTTAAGTAATCAATGGTTAATAAATAAAAATAAAATAAATTAAAAACAAAGATTTGTCCTCTATCAGCAGGAGGCATGGTGAAAAAGGAGCACGCACTTACTTTCTCGTGGGAACAACACGCAAATACATAGTCGAAATAACTCACCGCATAATATAAGTCCGACCGCTACTTAAAAGGGTTCCGAAATCTTACACATAATGAATTGTTTATAAACACATTTTTTTATATATATATCATCTAAAAGCATCTTGCGCCAACCGTAACCTCAAATATTTTCAATGAGTTGACAGCCCTATCGTGGTCTTTATAATAATTGTTATAATTTACATTTAGTTTAAATTAATCATAGCTTTCTATTCGTACATTAGGACAATTTTCAAAATAAAGAAGCTTCCCCGATAATGACACACATGCATTGATGGAGTATAGATGGCCCCTGAATAATAAAGTTGGTCTACATTAATATTGATAAGATAATATTCCCACGGTAAACGTTAATTGATTAGCATTCGCGAATATCCAATCAAGTACCGTTATTTTATTGTGATCATAAACATATTAGCCTTGTTCCGCAAGCCTCAGGAGACACTCCTCTTCAATAGGCAGAGTATCCTTCGAAATTGGACCTCTTAAAGGTTGCGCCTGGTTTCATGGGGAAATAATGTGCTTCATTCACCACGGTTGCATAATAATAATACTATTTACATCCCAACAATTTAAACTGGCTGACATAATACAACAGTTTCGTCTAAACCAGTGTTTCCAAACATGGGGCCCACATTGGTTATGATATAATTATATATATAATTTGTCTTTTTTAAATAAAAAAAGTAGAGCCTAGTATATCCCACGATATAGCGGCGATATAACCAGATATTAATTGAACTTTTAGTCATGAGCTAAATACACTAACACGAATAACATCCAATTTATCTTTGTGTAATCGGGTTAATTTCTAAAATATAACGGATAATTGTTACGAATCGGAGATATATAGAAAAACACGAATTTTTATTTGCTTTCTCATTTCTAATAAAGTATCCAAATATTTCTAAATAATCCGGGCGTAGGTAATGCTTTTTGTAACACTTAACAGTACGTAAGGACCAACCCAGTGTAAGGTAGATTTTTTTATTTCCTCCTTCTCCGCTACATAATCTATTGTATATGTATACTTTACTCACAGCTACATTCATTTGTGAGTGCATACACACATTCGCACACTCCCACATTCACACATACTTAATGTCATATAAGACATAGTTGTAACACTAAAATTCCTTTTTTTTATTTTTAAACTGTTTTAAACATTTACCATGTATCACGGAATATTTATTATCTAGTTACCCACAACACAGGGACTTCCTAGGGGGGGGGCTAGCGATATATGAATATATACAACCCTTTTGTCATAAAGTAAGTTATTATTAACTTTCTCCTTCTAAAAGTCTGTGTATTTGTTAAAAAAAAAAAAGGTAAATCTCTCTCTGAGTTGTGTATTTCTGTAATTGACTTGTAGGTACTATAAAATTGTTCACGTTGTGATAAAAAGAGAGAGAGACTTTAGTTAACAGTCTATTATGATTATTTACTCATCAAATTAGATACCTCTTTTAGAAGTCGGATAATATTAAAAATAATGGGATTGATTTCTTAGTACAATATTTATAGTTTAGCCAGTATATTGAAATGGCTGTGTTTGTTAAATCAATGACTAAGGTAAGTTTAATAAATTACTAAGCCAAAAGCTTAAAGCCCGCTCGGAACCCAGTTCACTTAAACCAAAAAGAACGTTATTTTTTTATTTAAATTATAACGAGTATCGGAACCAGTTATTTCAAATGCTAACACACCAAATTGTCCTGTTTTGGTATTGCAAAAAGTATATTTGCATATTGTGCTATCGTGAATTGATCTATTTTTATTAAAAACATCAAAATGTCTGCACTAAAGAATGCGTTCATTTCAATTGGTGGTAATTTTAGTTTATGTAAGGAATTATTTATTTACGTTATTTTATGTTAACAGTAAAAAACTTAAAGGGGAACAGGGATTTTAATTTTTTTTTTCTGCGGTAACACACAGCCCCAAGGCTATGAGCGAATTTTTTCTGTGGTGCTGTCATGTGGAGTGACTTCCCTTTGGAAGCATCTACTCATCTTCTGTCTAGAGCTACTGCCGGTCTTCTAGCTCTAGAATATGGTGACGTTTTAGTCGAATCACATACTGTCTAATGGTGAGTTGGCGAGCAAGTTCATTCGGGTGACAGCTTAACCGCTCTTTGTATTTAGCTGCCAGTCTCCGGATTTCCTCTTTGATAGTTCTCATTTTAAGGTGTTCGTGAACTTCGTTGTTAGTAATGAAAAAAATAATTAGCGTCAAAATTACGCATTAACCAATAGTATGGAACAGGAAATGTAGTATACTGACGTATTACTTCCTACATTCAAGATCTGCATCGAAGATTTAAATGTTGAGCTTTTTTACCTTTAAAATACGCGATTATTAATGTATTTCAAATGAAGATCTTTGTGTACATTAACCTTTATATGTCAAATACATATTCATACAACACCAGCTGTCATATTATATATGTATATTATTATGCCTTAAGGACAGGTAATAATACACACGTACCATTAGTAATGAAGATCAAATAGTTGAACATGTGCTCCTACATTGCCCTATATTCGCATCGTCCAGGCAAGACCTGCAGCAACAAATGCAGATGACAGTAGACCGTAACGGCCTACAGGACATGTTAATAAAGCACAGATCGTACCTGGAACGGTTCTGCGAAAAAATTGTTAAATATATTAAGGCGGCAAACAAAACTGAAAGAATGGTTCTCGCGAGGAATTGCGCCCCGGCTCGCCCATGAATATTGTAAACAAAAATATTACCGATGCAGCCGGGGCGTATTTCGCGAGACTTGTGATGTTAAGTTTAGAGATAGAAAAAGTCCCTGGACACAATGGTAGGGGAGTAGAATAGGTATTCTTTAAAAAAAAAAAGGAAAGGTAAATCTGCTGAAAATTGCAAAAATATATTTTTAATTGATTTAAGCTCTTGAAAGAGTTGCTCTAACCTAACGGTAAGATTCATCGTCGAGACTTGACAATATGTCTCATTTGACATATGTCAGAACCAAATACGTTTTTGACATACGGATAATATCCGTCACGAGCCTATTGTCAAGGGTAAATATAGGAAAAGGATGTACGGAAGTATGTGGAATGTTCAATATGGTCTATACTGTACGATAAATAAAACATATATATACACATATAGTTAACATAAAAATTAATTGCTTTTCGTTTGTCTAGTTTGTCGCTAAAACTTGAGAATGGCTAGACCGATTTAGATCTGAAAATATTTGTAGAAGTTCAGGGAAGGTTTACAGGCAAGGAAAACAAAAATAATAAGTAAAGAAAACGGGGCGAGGATTGAATTACGCATTATTGTTAATATTATTTTCGACCTTTCCGTACCTTTCCGTTTCTTTTGTACTTTACACCTCATAATGGTAAATTTTAGGTATAAAGAGTCACTAGGTGGCCACGAAACGTTTTACTATACTTAGGTACAGAAAAACGTTACGGCGCGTTACATGGGGGGGAGTAAATAATCTCCAAAAATTGCGTAACGCAATTTAGCTGGAAAATATTTGACGTCTTTTTGGATAAACAAATTGTTGAAATACACTTGTCATATATTTCTTAGCCTCCAGAAAGTTGTGTTTCATAGCTATAGTATGAGATCTCTTTGATCTGTTTTAAACATTTTGTAATTAAGTTTTGATACAAATGTAATAATGGGTTGTCTAGTAATTAAAAATAAGTTTTTTGCATTTCCTAGATCGACTCCACTGCCATACATTTTACGCAATAATTAATATTTCTTCAACGCAATTAAACAAGCTTTAACCACCGTACAATCGAGAGAATTTTTTTTAAAGAATAGCCATTGAATGTTTCTTCTCTTCTACTCTAGTGTTAATAAAAGCTTTTAGTGCGTTTATATTAAACCGTTAGTGTTAGCACAGCTAGAAACGATTTCGTTGTCACGTGTAAATAATCTTAAATCAAAGTTATCTATGCCATTAGAAATTTGAAAACTTGTTTTAAAGTTTTAAAACAAACATTTAATGCTCCCATTAATTAAGTCGCTACGTGTGTTAGGTTTTTGTAAAGTCTGCATAACTGGTTCATATGGACGAGTTATTTCAAGGATCTAGTTATTAATTCAGTTATTCTTGAATAGAATTGTGCTATCGCCTCATTGGTATCGGATATGTGGTTTTTAGCCTGTAGTATTTTTTTTAATTCGAAACGAAATTGATTCTGTATCAGCCTGGCAAACATGGATTTTGACTCGCAAAGAATCACGTAAATTATTATTGTATTGTTGGAATTAATTAGCTTAAACATTTGACTAAAATAACTCGATTACAGGCTGGATATGTCGACGCGGAGCGGCGCAAACGCAATACGTGCGCGGCGTGGGCACAAGGAGCGTTCGAAAAACTTCACGGAGTTAGAGAAACGCACCGTTCTTGAGTTGATAGCGCGACATCGGGACGTGCTACGACAGGGGCGTTCCAACAACGCGACTAATCGCAGCAAACAGGTGAGAATCAATTCGAAATATGTTTTTTTTTTTACAAATTGTCTCTGCACAAAGACATCATTACGATTTGCCTAACTAATAGGTAATTTAAAACTCTAAACTAATTTACTAATGGTCTAAGATCCCGCTATACAACGACCTTCACCGAGATGCTTATTTAATGAAACTTATTTTATATATAATTTAATATGTCAATAAATATAATCCATATGGGTTGCCTAGCAAATTTCAGTCCAGAGTATGTTTAATTAATTTAAAAAAAAAATATTTTTTTAAACATTTCACCGGTATGATTATTAGATAAATTCTATACCAATCGAACGTATGAAGCCCATAGAATATGCAAACGTTAGGTTGTTTTTAATCAATTAATTATTTATGTGTATATTTTTTATGTGACACTAAAGTATATATACATCTTTAGTATAAAAGAAGGTTATAGTGATACATATATAATACTACCCTGATTAAAAATATTGATTGAAAAAGTTCAAAAAATTTACTACATGCAAATTATAAAAAAAAAAAAAAATTTTTTAATATTAATTAAACATACTCTGGACTGAAATTTGCTAGGCAACCCATATGGATTATATTTATTGACATATTAAATTAAATATAAAATAAGTTTCATTAAATAAGCATCTCGGTGAAGGTCGTTGTATAGCGGGATCTTATACTATAAAGAGGAATTTTAAAGAAAAAAGTGTCAAATAACAATACTTACAGTCTCTATTAAGGGAGACACTCTGTTCTTGTCTTCTATTTTTTGTAATTCATATAGGTAACATAATGTACACTAATGTGTTACTAGCATTCTGTCTTGGCTTCGCACGGCTGGTTATTTTCTCATTAAATTAAATATGAAATGTTCGGGACTTTTTTGTGAATATTGCTGTGTTTACGCAGCGTAGGCGATATAGAGATTTCTATTGGAGAATTTATTTTTCACATCCTGGATGATGTTATTAATATATTTTATAATGATTCCTTTTTTGAAAATATTTTATAGCCTATTTTCATCAGGGATAATGTAATCTTACATGTCCTATTATATCTTAGAGTGAAATATACTTTTAATCGGTTAGTTTTGGTGTGGTGTGGTATGTGTTTGGTGTCGATGCAAAGAAATAAACACCAAAATATTTCCTCTTTCCATTATAAGATATGCGCCGCTTTCCTCACGATGGTCATCCTTTACCGTCGAACCAAAAAAATATCTATAATATTGAATATTGATGTGAGTAAAAATCGCAGGAAAACCTTGATTTTAACGGAATAGTTATAGATAAAGGGATTATAATTACGACTCAATGTCTATTATATAATTTTTATCTAAAAGATTCTAAATTAATCTTCTGATTAACCAGATAACATGGCCGTTTTTTATTATAAATCACAAAGTAATTAAAATCAAAAAGGCATTTTCATAGCTTTTAATACATGATGGAGGAGTGTTGGGCTGGTGTCTTCTGGTGGTGCTGGCTTGGTGCGCCTCAACCCTATTCGTTTCTTTCTATGAGCGCTATTAACACTACCTCTATATTGTTATATAGTACATGTTTATATCTAATATATAAAATTCTCCTGTCACAATGTCCATTCCCATACTCCTCCGAAACGGCTCGACCGATTCTTATGCATTTAGTAAATCTGACAGTCGGCTACTATCTATCTTTCAAGGCCCTAAGTGATAAGGGGTGTGCACCCCCAAATTTTACATTTATTAAATAAAAATTTTGTTTGTTTTTATTTTTTGTGACACAGAATACAAATATAGATACAACCCTTAATTTTCACCCCTCTACGATCGATCCCTATTTTTATTTACAACTTATGACTTGAACTTATTAAAAACCTAAAAAGTTTTAATTCCGGAAAACTAAACATTCTCTGGGGTAGCATAGCAAAATGTTCCATGTTGGTATGTACCTACTAAAAAGGTAGGCTAAGTAAAATCACGTTAAGGAGAAACGAAGTTTGCGGGGCACCTAGTATTGATATATAGTACATATTTATATAATATAAATGTCATACATTTAGAATTTCAATACATAGTAAAACAAAATTTCACCCTTTCGCTATTTCTTTTCCCTATCGTCTAGAATGGTAATTCCTATCGCTAATTAGGATTAAGATACACACCTTTGTATTTAATTCCGATGTGGAAATGCATTTGTGCATCCGCTGCCCCCAAAAGTTGCGGTATATGGGACTCGGCCCACACCAGAATCTCTGCTATTCAGAGACTGGGTGAGCAATACCCACTAATACCTCGGGTTGTTTCTACAAGGGCGCGTTTTAGACGCTCTCGCATTCTACCGGGACACCGGAAATGATTTATAGGTATCGTAAGTTAGTAATGAAGAAATTCAACTGATCGTTTTCAAGAACTCTTTCTCCATTAAAATCCCTGAGTAACAAAGACAAAAATATATATTTTCAAAATTTAAAAAAAAAGTCTTGTGCGTCTAGCTTAGGCGATAGCAATGATGACTAAAATATAACTATAATTTTTGTCTACTAATTAAAACATATATAAAATTATATTATTTTATAGAACCCGTATCAATCGGCTACTATCGACTTTTCATACCCCTAAGTGATAAGGGGTGTCCACCCCAAAAAAAAATAGTTTTTATTTTTAGCATACAAAAATACATACAACCCCTAATTTTTACTTCTCTATAGTATAAGATCCCTGCTATACAACGACCTTCACCGAGATGCTTATTTAATGAAACTTATTTTATATTTAATTTAATATGTCAATAAATATAATCCATATGGGTTGCCTAGCAAATTTCAGTCCAGAGTATGTTTAATTAATATTAAAAAAAAAAAAAAAAATTATAATTTGCATGTAGTAAATTTTTTGAACTTTTTCAATCAATATTTTTAATCAGGGTAGTATTATATATGTATCACTATAACCTTCTTTTATACTAAAGATGTATATATACTTTAGTGTCACATAAAAAATATACACATAAATAATTAATTGATTAAAAACAACCTAACGTTTGCATATTCTATGGGCTTCATACGTTCGATTGGTATAGAATTTATCTAATAATCATACCGGTGAAATGTTTAAAAAAATATTTTTTTGTTAAATTAATTAAACATACTCTGGACTGAAATTTGCTAGGCAACCCATATATATGGATTATATTTATTGACATATTAAATTATATATAAAATAAGTTTCATTAAATAAGCATCTCGGTGAAGGACGTTGTATAGCGGGATCTTAGACCACTAGGGGTTGATCCTATTTTTTATTATTGTAGATAGTTATTTTTATTGAACTAAAAAAAATCCTAGAAATAATATACATGGCAAAACAAACGTTTGCCGGGTCAGCTAGTTTTATATAATTGTTAAGTTTTGATTAAGTCATACCTACTACATTTTTATTTAGTAATGTCGGTGTCAAATATCAAAAGTAGTTAGTAACAATATAAAATTGCAGTAAACTAATTCCAATGAATACTGCTGACACAATTATGTGGCGCGTGTCAAAAGTTCATTACGCTTATGAAATGCGACGCCCGCAATGTTATTTTACACTGACGCTTCGGGCATCGATTTCTGGTCTAATCATGGAATGCAATTTGACGACTCATTGGTCTAGTGGTTAGTACCCCTGACTGCGAATCCATGGGTCCCGGCTGAGACGAACATCGATGTGATGAGCATTTGGTGGTGTGCTTAGGTCTTGGATGTTTAAATATGTATTTATATGTCTATCTATCTATAATATGTATGTATATCCGTTGCCTAGTACCCATAACACAAGTTTCACCAGCTTAGCATGGGACTAGATCAATTGGTGTGAATTGTCAAAAAAAAAATATATATATTTGTCTTCGCCTCGTGTGGTGTGATTTCTATGCCAATTAGGTACAAACTTACCATATTATTTCGGAAGGATAGAAGCCGTATTCGCATAGAGGTTTCAACGTGCGATTCTCATCTGGGGTCGTACGTTCGGTCACCGGCTGTGCACCAATGGACTTACTGTCTATATGTACATTTAACACTTGCTCGTACAGTAGAGGAATACATCGTGAGGAAACCGGCTTGCCTTAGATCCATATGGTCGATGGTGTGTCAGGCACAGAAGGCACCTACTTGAACAGATACAGAAATCTGAGGCCCTGACCTAATAGGTTGTATCGCCATTGGTATGTGTGTATGTAATTCCCCGAAAATATAATCCCCGCATATATTGTTCCCCTTAGAGATTCTTATGCAGTAAACAATTTGGTTTCTTTACGATCTTTAGCTTCACCATATGACCAAGAGTTAATTGTGCACATCAAAGGTACCGAGCCGAGAATTGAACGCACGGACTCAGGATTGAAAGCCTCTATACCACTGCTATAACAGAATGTAATAATGGTGATTGGTGTGATATTTTCAGTTAGTGTGGTCCACAATTTGTGAAGAAGTGAATAAACGTTGCGGCGGCGAGCGGCCGCGCACGCCAGCTCAAGTTAAGATGTGGTACGAAAATTATAAGAAGAAATGCAAGATGCGCGCACACGATACTCAACTCATTAAGGTTAGTTAATATTTCTAAAAAAAAAACAGTTGTATAAACCTGACAATTTTTTGCACTTCCACGTATATTTCTGGCAGAAAACTAGAAGATTTTTATTTACGGATACGTTCCACACAGATTTACTATATCAGATATGAGCGCAGTCACGTGGGAACTCTATTCCTAAGTCATAGCTTGATGTATCCAGGATGTTGTGATAACATCTTTTCTGTTCTTAAGTGTACTTGTTTACCTACATGAATAAAGTTATTTTGAGTTTGAAATTATGGAAATGAAGAATTCAATTGATTATATTTTTTGCAGACTCCGAACTCTGAAACACCCGGCCTCCTCGACGGTATGTTGTGGCAGAATATTCACCCGCTAGACAAAGGTAAATATATCCAATAAATACCTTTTAACTTATATTAAACACACTCATTTACTTGGATATGTGACTTAAAATGTGCCATGTCCTACGAAACGAGAAAGTTTTACCACTCCCTCTCCTCTCCACTTCCTGCCCGTTGCTGGCTTTCATGTGTTCTCTACTATCGATCCAACGACCTGGGCCAGCCTACTGGCTTCCGGACACTTGGCCGTCATAGGTTTGCTTCCTTCCCTGACTTCCTACCAAAGGAAGTCAATAACAGAAAGCTTTTATTTGAATAGATCTTGTAAAAGTGACATTCACAAATGTTTTGTGAATTAAATTAATTAAAATAAAAGTAGAATTTCCTTAGAAATAATTGTAAAATTCAACAAAGATTTAGTTATCCAAACCACCTTCTTATAATTTAGCAGCCTGTTAATTTCAAAGCTAAAAGGCTAGAAGTCTTTCGTAAAAATATTTTCTACTAAAAGTACAACCGCAGTTTGTATCTTTTTTTTCTTGTGTCTTTGTTAGCTGGCTTTAAATTCCTTCCGTCCTTCAAGAAAAGAACGTACCAATTCTTAAAAGGCTAGCAACGCACTTGCGAGCCTTCTGGCAATGTAAGTGGCCATGGGCGGCGGTATCACTTAACATCAGATGAGGCATGAGCCTCCTCCTATCGATCCAACCCGTTGTTTTTTTTTTATGATTGGACAATTCACACCAATTGACCTAGTCCCATGCTAAGCTGGTGAAGGTTGTGTTATGGGTACTAGGCAACGGATATACATACATATTATAGATAGATAGACATATAAATACATATTTAAACACCCAAGACCTAAGCACAACACCAAATGCTCATCACATCGATGTTTGTCTCAGCCGGGGATCGAACCCGGGACCCATGAATTCGCAGTCAGGGGTACTAACCACTAGACCAATGATCCGTTTGCCTCCTATTATATAAAAAAAAGTTATTAAAAAATATGTCCTAGTTTCTTAGCAATAGACTAACTAAATTGTACCACAATATTATTTTATTACTGTTAATTTTTTACTTAAGTCCTTTCCTTTTTCTGTTGTAACTATAAAGTTGATTTTACATATGTAGAATGTCAGACTCATATCATTAGAAATATTTTCATTTGACAGTACCCATTTAGATAAAAAGTGGATCTAAAATTAATTATTTAATAGGCGAAGATAATGATGCCACGACAAGTGGGGAAGGCGCTCATAGCGTCAAGGATGATGGGCCGGTAAATGTAAGTTTATTCTTTTATTGGAAACCATTGATGATATTTTAGTTATTCGGGTCGTTTAATTGGAGGTTTGATTCCTGGCGAAATAATTTCGAGTTGGACGATATGATAGTAATTGTTAACTACTGACAAACCTAATTAAACATAGTACAATAACGCATTGTATATTACTTGGTATTATTAATATATATAACATAAGCAAATACTCACTTGAAGTATTATTAAAAATATATTTTCCAGATGTCCAACGGGCGTCTTTCAACGAACGACAGCGACGATACGATGCCAAACGTACTTGAACCTCAAGTGCAAATTATACCCCAGTCCTCCCCTAGCCCCCCCTTAAAAGCCCTCCCTAACCCCCTTAACCCCCTAATCCCTAACCTGCCCCTCCTCGCTAATCCCCTCGCGATCGAACAAGCGCGCATCCAGCAAAATTTCCTTCAAAAGTTAAACGAACTATCAAATACACCACTGAACCTCAGTCACTTAGACGATGACAAAAGGAAAGAATCGGATGATCAAAAACACGATTGTGGTACCGCGACGGAGGAAGAGAGGTTATATTACATAGCCAAACGGCAACACGCGATATGGGAACACGAGGCGAAAATGAAAATTTTAAATATGGAACTAAGGCAGAAGGAAGAGATTTTCTCCCTTCAGAAACAACTTTTTCTCATCGAATTGCGTTTGAAAATGGATTTCCTGGAGAAGGCCAGTGCTAAATGATCAATGATGTTTTAAAAATGGAAGGTTGTTTTTGCAGAATGGCTAAGCTGTCGCCAGATTTTGTCTATGTTCTAGAAGTGTTTTTTCTATGGCGCTCATTCAGTGTTGCCAAACAAGAATTTTGTTAAAAACAAATGATAGCGACAAAGTCGTAGTCGATTAAGTGCCATTTTTGTTACCGCTTTAGCGCTCTTTTAATACGTATATTATTTTGCCATAACGCTTAATATTTTTACCGGATTAGACTGGTTGTATTAATTATAAATTAATTTGTTTTGTTCTAAACAGTAGATTTTACTTTTTAATAAAATGGTACGATGCAAGGTTAATTTAGTGCCAATTTGCACCAAAACTGGGTTTTGAAATGTGATTATAAACAGATAGTATATTATTTTTGTATTCTTTATTTTGCATAGCTTATTTTATATTTAGTTTAGTACATAAAATGTGCTTAATTCTGTAATTTACTTTAGTATATTTTCACTGGCAGCTTGAAACGCGCAAATGAACTGCCAAATATAGATTTTCGCGTTAACGTTAGTACTTAGTATTTAGCATCTCTTCGAAACGGGCACCTTTCATTTAGTTCGCCCGCGACAGTGGAGGTCAATGAACTTTTGACGTTAAAGTTAAACGTGAATCAACCTAGTCCTATAGGTTCTAATGTCTTACGAAGTAGTTACATCAAAATTATTTTCCATGTCAATGGCAACACCGTGTCGTGTGATTTACGTTTTTTAAGAAAATTAGCTAAACTGACATGATTTTCAGGTCAGGGTTTAAGGCACGAAAATATCTGTTGAATTTGCAATCTATTTGCGTTTTATTTATATCCATAGATATTAAATATTAACGCATCTCTTGTATACTTGCTGTAAGCCAAAAAGCTAAGACATGCTTGTCATTGTAAACAAATTTATACAGAGAGAACAAAATTGTAACTACTTACTAGACTTCAAGTCAATGACGTGCCAAGAAACATAATATTTGTTGTTAAATACATAGTTGTTACGTAATATTTTAAGATATACATTTAAAATACGTAAATTAGACAAATATGAAGATTCAATTGATATTTTTGTTTATTAGTAATACTAGAGAATTTAGGTACAAAAATTCAATCAATAATACCTCATGATACAGTGTATTGTAAATATTGTAGTTGTAATAAATTTTAGACATGTTTTATATGGACTTACATTTTTGTGATTTTTAATAGTTGCCAGATTTAATAATTATAATAATAAGCGTGGAAATACTCAAGTACAAATTGCGTAATTTTTTCGATACAGTTTAAGCAGGAAATACTATTTTTCATAATACAATTTTATATTGTGATGTATTTTATAAGATCTCAATAGAAAAAAATGAATTTGTGAAAAATTATAATACTTTAGTATTGAAGCGTCGTAATTCGAAACTCTTTTATGTTAATCTGATGAAATTGGATATTATTGATATTGAATAAAGAATTTATTTTTCTGTTCCGTTGTTTTTTCAATTTTATATCTCTTATATATTTTCAATAAGGCTGAATAACCATTGATGATGATATATTTTCAATACTATGTTTCATTTTATGACTAGAAAAATCTTTAAAACTCGGTCATTTAAGCAGTAAAAATTTCCCCCAGGCCTAACTGGTTTATTAAGTTACTATTACGGTAGAAATTCGGCTGACATCGTTAAAACTGCGATAAAAGAGTTAAATAATTATGAACCTTTGAACATACGTGTTTTTAAAAAAGCTCGATAATTTTATTTAGTTTTCAAGCATTGACAATTTATGGGTAATATGTATAAAAAAGTAAATAACTACTGTTGACGTAATCGCCAAATAAGAAAATCAAAGACCCCCAACCATTGATATACAAAAAACCCAAGATGCACAGTCTCGAATAAAAGTAACGCCCGAAAGTGTCCCGAAACACTATTTCTGTCCATAACAGTATATGTTACAAGCATATATTATTGCAAAATCAACCTTACGCGAATTGCTTAAAGTTGTTATTACAACGCAGTGTATACGGACTTAAAGCAATAAAATTTTACGACCGACCGTGGTCGGTAGGACAAGGTATTGAGTGGAGTCGAACATGACTTTTTTATTTACAACTATTTAACATAATTTTAAATTTATCCGACTTTTCGGGTGCTTTACAGCGTGAGTGGTCACGGTGACTGAAGACAAAAGGTGTTGGATGTTAAATAGTTGTAAATTTATAATAATACATAACATTAATCCGGTTAAAAAGTTTTTTCTTTAAATTAAAAAAAAATGTTAAATTGGCTACCTCCTGACCCACACTTTATATAGCGTAAATATATTTGTCAAAAACTACACACAAAAAGTTCAAGAGTACATAAATTTATTTATAAAAAAAAACACAAATAAATAACATCGACTCCACTTATAGACGCGAGACTATTTGAAATGAGCGCACAATTTAGAATGTTGCGCTCATTTTTTGAGGACGTTTTTTAGACGTTGATTGTGCATCTTGGGTTTTTGTATATCAATGCCCCCAACCTATAGTGGTTACGTAATACTTAAACGGCCCCTTATGACGTGGGGTATATAACTTTTTAAATCACACAATTTTATTTGTAATTATGAAAGGGGAGATATTGTTTAGATGCCTCTTAATATGTGGACGCTATTTTATTGAAAATTAATTGAATGTTGACGCAAAATCATTCCAATCAAAAATTTTAGATTTGTTTGGCAAGGGTTATAGCTTTCATATTTTCATTGATCTTTGACTTAACTATTTTGTAATTTGACGGCTGTCATCTCATATCTGACATCCTCTACTGCTTATGGAAGTGCCCACGTAAAGTTCGTAAACAGAGGTTATATTCCGCGAATGGAAATATTTATTTTTCTCTTTAATCTTTAAAATAGAACTCTTTTAAAATGAAAATATACACAAACAATAATAATACTTCGACGCTGAAATTGTTAATTGCGGCAAATTTAGCTGGGAAAAAGTTAGAATTGCAAAAATCTACATTTGAAGGTAGTTTTTTTTCCTCGTTCGGTTTTTGCCTAATATAATATTTAAATTTAGACTTTTGCCCATATAAAAAGTAAAGAAATTAAGTAACTTTCGTGTACTCTTACTGCATCAAGCTATCAGTCATTGCTTCATATTTATGCTTAATTAAAACAATAGTAATTATACGTAGAAATCGCGTGAGAAAAATAGGTAAAACACACACACACAGTGTACATTAGAGGAATTGTAACCTATTCTTATAAGATTATGCACAATACTATATGTAGTAACATTTTGGGATGGTGTTGGGACTGATGTTTCAATACTCTGTCTGCATGGCAGACCAATTTTCAGGTCCAAAATGCCTTCCATTGCTTGAAGTTGATGAAGAACTAACATTTTTCTCAAGTAACGCAGCAGTACAGTACCTATTCCCTATTCTGGACCTTTCTAAGAATGGGCAGTGGTATGTGGTTTTTATAAATATTTTAAAATTGACCTTAATATTCATGATAATATGTCAATGATAAGTGACATGCTCATTTTTTTAACCTATATGGTCATTTCCTGTTATAAATATTTAACTAGTAAAGATGACCATGATTTATATGTATATATTATTTAAATAAGATATTTTTAATCAGCCAACAAATGCAAGAGTGGGAGGCAACTCGTCTACAACCAGCCGTAGCAAATGTACTGTCAGCAAAAACTGTTCCTGCAGATGTAAAACAAGTTTTGCAATCCCTTGTTCTTGTGTTGAATGAATTGTTGAAGAAACATAAATATATTATAGGGGTATGTTTTTTATTACATGGCTTTTCTATGCAAGCTATTATGTCTAGTGAAAACTTGAGACTAATAAACCAACTATTTAGTGTGTAAATGGAGACCCATTGGAAACTAGGAACATTGATTTTAGTATCCTGATAAGTGATGCTGAGGGGTATTAATTTCAAAGACTGTATAATAATCATTAAAAATTGTATAATATTTTCGCAACACCTATAATCCCAGGCTATTAAAGTTGCTTATAACTTTGGAATATGTGTACAAATCTGTCATTTATGTATAAAGTTCTAATTGTTAATGAAATATTAACTAAATAAATTTTATCCAGGATAAGCTTTCAGCAGCAGATATATCAATATGGAGTACACTATATCCTCTACTATATAATGAAGAATCAAAATCATATTTATCTGAGTGTTCTTATATCCTTCAATGGGCTGAAGAACTGAATAAAGCTAAAGCTTTTCAGGTAATTTTAACTGTTATATTTGTTTATTTTTACATGAATAAATTGACTACATATTAAAGTAGGTATTTATGTTGTCAATTAGTGAAGAGTATATATTTAGTGGACTTCAGATTCTATTCTCTCTCCAGCACTATTGTCTGATAGTTAAAATATTACAGGAAGCAGTGAAGCAATGGGGTGGAAATCCTAAAGGTCCATTTAGTAACATCTCAGCATTGGGCACTCCACAAATTACTAATTTGCCTACGCCTGCAGGGTGAGTACCATATTATCTATTGCATTTAACCATTATGTTTCAAATTTATTTCAATGTAATCTATACAGCTTATATTTCATTAATGTCAAGAATAATATGATAATGTTCAATATGTATTTAAGATCGCCAGATGATTCCGTTCCCGTCAGCGTATCACAGGAAGAGGCAGATTTAGCTCAAGAAAACTGGTTAAACGGATTGAAGAACCTACAAGCTCCCATTAAACAAGAGAAATTAGTGTAAGTATACTTATTTTATCTGTCCGGCAAGGATTCCATTGAACGGAAAGTGTTTTTATTGACTTTAGTATTGATTTGATTGTGTTAATTTTCTTTAGTAACCCATAAAGGTTATACAACATTGTTTGATTACAGATGATAAGGGAGCGTTCAAGTATTACGTAACGAATTTTGGGCGGGAGGGGTCCTTTTGTAAAACGTTACGATGCGGGGCGGGGATTGAATTACGCGTTATTTTTAATATTATTTTCGACTTTCCAGTACTTTACACCATATAATGGTAACTTTTAGGTACAAAGAGTCACTAGGTGGAACATTTTACTATACTTGGGTACCCGTTGGGTAAACGTTACGGCGCGTTACATGGGGCGGGGGGTCATTAATCTCCAAAAATTGCGTGACGTAATACTTGAACGCTCCCTAATATAGCCAGCTAAATTCCTTTACACTAGCTTTCTTCTTGATCCTTCTAGAACTAGAGGCTTTCATGGCTTGCTTGTCAGAGTGGCCTGAACTTTCTTTTATATAAACTCTATTCCTTGTCTTAGAATGAGTGCAGAATGATAATACCAAAACATATTTTTATTTCAGGTTGCCAGTTAAAGGACGCAAAAATGTACTTATAACATCAGCGTTGCCATATGTAAATAATATCCCGCATTTGGGGAATATAATTGGTTGTGTGCTCTCAGCTGATATATTTGCAAGGTAAATAAATAGTTCATTACATTTTGTATTCTTAATATGTGGGATGTTTGAATATAGGTATCGACACTTTGGCCTGTATTCTAAAAATTTAACCAGAGACAAATATAGTCTCAAAGTATTTTATATCTTATGTTTTTGGCAGGGCAAGCCAAGATTGGGACTTTAAATTTTGGCTATCATACAATTATTAAATATTAATATTAGATTAAAGAAAAATAATTATAATAATAATTAACAATTTTTTATAGGTATTGTCGTCTATGTGATTACAACACCCTATATATAAGTGGTACGGATGAATATGGGACTGCGACTGAAACAAAGGTAAGTTTCTTTAAAAACCCACAAATTATATACACACAATAATTATCTAATTAAATGGGAACACAATTTCCGTTGTCTTCACATATAATCAAATCAATGTACTTACGAAATATTGTAAAAAAAAAATTAAAAGAGAAAGTATGGAGTTTCTTGCCCATTCTCCATATGAACCTTTTGGAAGGGGCAACTAGAGTAATTTTTTTTTAAGCAGTGTATACGAATGATTCAGATTGGATGGATTATATATTAACATTATTGTCGATGGTTTGGTTAATTATAAAAAAGGGTTTTCAAGGGCCATTACAATAAATCTCACATATAGAAACAGAATAACAATAAAAAACTAATTATTCAACGTTTAATAGGCAAACTTGCTTACAGAATTCTTACAAATAATAAATATATTAAAAACCGAGAAATATAAATTATAACTTATTGCAAAACTTTTGGCAAAGATCTGCCACAACTGAATTGCCTGAACTGAAAATGAATAATAATCTTTAATTATATATTAATCTCCATTACTTAAATAAACATTTCAAAATGCCGTTTCAGGCCCTTGAAGAAGGGGTAACTCCACGACAAATATGCGATAAATACTATGAAATCCACAATTCAGTTTATCGCTGGTTTAATATTGGGTTCGACTATTTTGGACGGACAAGCACGCCTGAACAGACACAGTGAGTATCTATCATAAGTCCGAATCTATGTTGTTGTTTTACGTCCTAGAAAGATATTAGAGCGACTCATGGCCATGAGTAATACCTTTTTAGAATCCCTATTAAATGCTCCAAAACTTGTAATACAGGTTCACTTTTCGGTAGAGTAATTTTTTTTCACAGTGGGGTCCGAAGTAAACAAAAAGTTTTGATTTGAAAAAAAATTATATCGTATAACTCAATATTATCTTCAATACACTCAATAAACAACTTTGAATAGTATGTCTAACGCAAGAACTCATCAGTGCCAATCTAGTGGATATTATGAAAAAGATACAGGATGTAGATTTTTTCGAATTTTAATAAGAATTAGTAAAAAAAAGTACATTTTCTTATAAAACGGAAAATAAATTATAACTCTGCAGGGGTTGAGCTTAGAGACCTCCCGTAGAACAATTTTTTTCAGCTGATGACCTCATCTATCCCCTATTTGCGTTTGATCCACGACTTTTTGGTCACCCTGTATATTATACATGTCCCCTTCTGAAATACATAGATACACCGTACCAATTCATAAAAGGCCGGCAACGCACTCGCGAGCCCTCGCATTAAGAGTGTTCATGGGCGGCGGTATCACTTAAAATCAGGTGAGCCTCCTGCCAGTTTGCCCCCTGTTCGATAAAAAAAAAACAACATTGACTGTCCAAAAATATTTATGACCTTCCAACATAAAAAAAAAATGTAACTGGCATTAACAAAATATATTTACACACATTTAATAATTCAGTAAGCTTTTGAGATAAGCTTTAAAAGTTCTTTAAAGCTTATCTCAAAAGCTATTAAAGTGATATAAGTTGGAAGGAAGCTAATTAAAATATTGTTTTTTTTATGGCTTTATGGCTATAGTTTTCTTTATAAAATAACTATTTTCACAGAATAGTACAAAAGTTATTTTTAAAAGTCTTGGACAATGGCTTCATGAGCACGCAGTCGGTTGAGCAATTGTTCTGCGAGAAGTGCGAGAGGTTCCTGGCAGATAGGTATGTATATAATATATATAATAGCTTTACGATAGTTTATCAATTTAAATAAAACGTGTTTCATAGATAACATATTTTACTAGACTGACTTTTTACTTTTTACTTGACAAAGGGTGGGTTGGGTTATAAGGTCATGTTTGTATAATCTAAAATTACTTATTTGAATCGTTTCTTTAAATATAAATTAAGAAATCAATTCGGGACCCATTATTACGCCGCCATTTTTATTTTTTAGCAGCCGATTAAGAGTAATTATATTCAAGGCTCAGTTATGACCTCATATGGAACACTGCTCTCATATCTGGGCCGGTGTTCCGAAATACCAGCTTTCCCTTTGACTTGGCTCAGCTTGTCGAATTGTCAATCCAACGTGTACTATGGAGAGTGTTCTGAAGAGTGTTTTGGGTTGATTACTCCTGCCTCGTTTCAACACCGCGCCGTTCTAATTCAAAATTTAATCCGCATCACCTTGATAGAAGTCTTCCACGGTCCAAGAAATTTTCTTATGCGAACTAGCGAAGTGTGGAATCGATTCTCGGTGGGGCTCTTTCCTGGGGTATACGGCACCCAATTGTTTAAATAAAAAGAGTGTACCCCTCAAAGGCCGACAACGCACCCACTAAAATGAGTGTCCATGCACTGCGACGACAGCCCTTTTTGGCCTTCCCGTGGGCTGGTTTACCATTCTATCCTATTTTTTAAAAAATGATTCCTATGTAGTACAAATAATATTTTATTAAAGAATGTTATCGTAAGTCAAATGTAACCCGCGTGTATATTTTTTAGATTTGTTGAAGGAACATGTCCACACCCTGGCTGCGCGTACGATGGTGCACGCGGTGATCAATGTGATAAATGCGGGAAATTGATTAATGCGATCGAATTAATCGAACCAAAGTGTAAAGTGTGTGCGCACAGACCAACTGTCAGACCTAGTGAACAGCTGTTTATTGAATTGGGACAGGTAAAGTAATTAATAATTTATATTTAGTTCACTTTGTTTGAATTAAGTAAGGGAAATTGGTATGGAAACCTAAAAATGTATAGTGTAAAGATGGTTTTTTACTGTTTCAAAGTACTTGTATCTTTCTATCACACTCTGTTAACGTTGTGATGAAAGTGGATCTGTTTTATATAAATAATGAGCTATTTGATAATATTATAAGCCATTTCAGATTATTTATTAGTGACTATATAAACTATACAAATTGTTAAAAATATAATAAAATTCAAATTTAACATTTATAACGTCAAGAAGCTGTCAAAAGCTTTTCCATGCAAGATGGCGCACCAGTCCGTATGACATACCAAGCCCGTATACACTTGAACGAACGTCAAGTTCTTTACGTGTAAATTAAACAAATCTTTATTACACTCGTGAGCAGTGTAGTGGCGTGCGACTCTCATCCCTGAGGTCGTAGGTTCGATACCGGGCAGTGCACCAATGGATTTCTGTTTGGTCATTTAACACGCGCTCGTACGGTTAAGGAAAACATCGTGAGGAAACCGGCTTGCCTAAAAAAGACGACAGCGTGTGTCACGCACAAAGGGCTGATCTCCTAATTGCCTATTAGATTGACAAATGATCATGAAACATACGGAAATCTGAAGTCCACCGTAATTAGACTCCCAAATAACGTAGTAACGCGATGAGCAACTATTTTGTATCACGTGACTGACTAATTACAAACAAAGCAATTTTCCTTCATAACGCTTATTAAGCTTAGGTTTCCTAGAAAAGCGGTGCCGTTATCTAACGGCCGCAATGTAACGTTGGGTGACGTCACCCATACGTTGTCTATAAATAACATCGGAGTAGGTTTTCTAGAGAACGTTGAGTGTCACCGTAACGTCAAATAGCGGTGCTGTCATTTGCATGACGGCCGTCATAGCGGTGATAAATATTAGTTCAACGTTTTTCGCGTGTAGCGGTGCCCATATTTTATTAATACAATGAGTGGAAACGTGACTTGGACGAGCGAAAATGATTGTTGCATTATGTTAAAAAGTAAAGACGGCCGTTATTAACAACCGTAAAATGACGGCCGTTAGTTAACGGCACCGCTTTTCTAGGAAACCTAAGCTTTAACGACACCAGCAATAAATGTCTTAATAAACAATTTTTGTTTTATTTTTCATCTTGAAATACCTATTGTATGCGTCATTTACCTTTATGTTCATATTTCTAGTTGGAGCCGTCAATCCGTTCGTGGATATCGTCGGTGGAAGGTAATTGGTCGGGGCCAGCGCGGGCTGTGTCGCGGGCCTGGTTAAGGGAAGGGCTGCGAGCGAGGGCTGTTACGCGGGATCTCAAGTGGGGCGTGCCTGTACCGCTTGAGAAGTATAAACATAAGGTACAATCACTTTCTTGTATGTGTGAACATTACTATGCTCTTACAAAACACGCACTAAAACTTGTATACACAAGTATGCTCGACATGTGTACACATTACACACGCACACATAAACACTAGCAAATAAGTATTACTCCAAAACGTATTTTTAAACTACTCTGTCAAATTGTATTTTTTTATGATGTGTTTTTGGTGATCGGCCTATGTCTAGTAAATTAATTAGCTAAGCTAAGTGCAATTAAGAGCGATCTTACACACACCCACAACCACTCGTGCTTTATACTCTGATTTTTAATTCCGTAGAATTCTGCCAGCTATCATTTTTTGACATGTCAGAGATGGCAAACCTTTATGGCTGAGAACTTTTTTCAATTTCAATACGAGTCTGAACATCTGAGTCTATACATTTTATTTGTTAGTGAATGTATCAATTTTACTAAGTGCGGTGCTCCACATTAAAAGTAGTTTAACGGCGAGTGATAATTACGTCCTTTTTTTATCACAAACAGAAAACCTGGTGCGTTTTTTTAAAGAAAGATAACATTTTATTTTTTTTAAAGGTTTACTAAGCCTGGAATTAGTAGGCCGTGATGCCAGCTAAAGAATAAAATAAAGTAATTAAAGTTAATTCGATATATTGTTGGTGATATTGAAATATTTGTTATTTTTGTATTAGGTCACTCGAGTAATAAATATTTTGATTTACCTTGTTCTAGGTAAAACATAAAAAATACGTAGCATTTTATTTTTATTGCCCTCAAGTAAGTCAAATTTGTCCCTTTTTCTGCGTAGAACTTTTTTAGTAGCAACACTTATGAAATGTCAGAATTCTACGGAATGAAAAATCAGAGAATAGATTTTTTTTTCTTTTGTCTATTACTTTAGTTTATTCATAGTATGTAGTTATGTTTTAATAAGCAGTCAGTCAAAATCTGTTCCATAGCGTTAGTGTTAGATATATTTTTTTTTAAAGTGGTCAATTTTGTCACTTTTTTTATTATAATTTCCGCTAATTTTTTATTTGGAACAGGTATTCTACGTGTGGTTCGACGCGCCAGTAGGCTACACTAGCATAACACAATGTGCTACTAAACAATACGAGAAATGGTGGAAGCCGGATAAAGATTATGATGTAAGTTATTTTTAAGTTTAAATTATTTAACCGTAACAAACAAGCTCGACAATTATGGTAACTTTTTTTTGTAATAGGAGGCAAACTGGCAGGCGGTTCACTGGCAGAAGTTATACCGCCGCCCGTGGACACTCAGAAGGCTCGCAACTGCGTTGCCGCCCTTTTAAGAATCGGAACGCTCATTTCTTGAAGGACCCTAAGTCGAATTGGTTCGGAAATTTGTGAAACATCAGTGAACCCACTGATAACCATATATGGTGTAAATTTACTTAAATTAAGCTTAATCTACTATATAAAAATAAGTCGTGTTTTCCTTCCTGACGCTATAACTCCAGAACGCACGAACCGATTTCCACGATTTTGCATTCGTTGGATAGGTCTCCGTGAGGTTTATAGCAAAGAAAATTCAGGAAAAAATTCAACAGAAAAGTGGGATCACCAAACGAAATATTACATAAAACGAAGCCATCTGGTGGCGAAACGGAGTTCGCCGTTTGCTAGTTAATTATAAAAAAACTATACTTATATATTTTTATATATTAACTATATACTATAAACTACTATATACATATATATATTTTTAGGTAAAATTGTACCAATTCATGGCGAAAGACAACGTTCCATTCCACGCTATAATGTTCCCGGCTAGCGTTATTGGCGCGAACGAAGGTCACAAGCTTGTGGACTATATATTTGCTACTGGTAAGTTTTATTATTTTTTAAAAATTTGGTTTGTTAACGAGAGTTCGGAAACGGTTGTTGAAGGGATGTTCAAATGAAACGAAATTGTTATTAAATGTTGTAACAAATGCTACGGCTGAATATCGTTCAGACCACTTGTTGAACGGTGCTGTTTAGTAAAGAGACTAGGCTGTTAATAGAACGGCTAATCAAGCTAGTTGCTGCGACACATACATCAGGTTCTTGGGTTAGGCGTTAGTGTAACTATTTAAATAAGCAAAGAAAGCCATCGAAATTTACTGAAACTGTCGTAGAAGGGTCATGTTCATGTTACGGGAAGAGGGTGATTCGAAACTAGCATCGTTTACATATCTAATCATTGAATTTGTAACTGAATATTTCAGAATATTTGAACTATGAAGAAGGCAAATTTTCCAAATCCCGTGGCGTCGGTGTTTTCGGTACAGATGCACAGGTAACATTTCTACCACTACTAAATTACTAAAGAAATTTTTGTGTTGTCAGTTTCTTTATAGCATATTCAAATTCAAAAGTCATTTATTCATCTATAGTCTGATTTTTCATTCCGTAGAATTCTGACATTTCATAAGTGTTGCTAGCAAAGTTTTCCACCGAAAAAGGGACAAATTTGACCCATCTGAGGGCAATAAAAAAATTCTACATATTTTTTATGTTTTACCTACAAAAAGGTAAATCTAAATATTTACTTACTCAAGTGATCTAATACAAAAATGACAAATATTTCAGTATCACGAACAATATGTCGATTAAACTTTAGTTACTTAATTTTATTCTTTAGCTGGCATCACTGCCTACTATTACCAGGTTTAGTAAAGCTTAAAAAAAAATGTTGTCTTTACTTGTGACTTTTTTAATGTTTGTGATGAAAAGGGACGTGATTATCACTCGCCGTAAAACCACTTTTGATGTGAGGTGCTTGATAAAATGGATACATTAACTAACAATAAAATGTATGTATAGACTCAGATGTTCAGACTTGTATTGAAATTGAAAAATATGCCCGGCCAAAAAGGTTTGTAATCTCTGAGATGTCAAAAAATGATAGCTGTCAGAATTCCACGGAATTAAAAATCAGAGTATAGGTTCAATGAAGAAGATCTGAAATTTGTCTGAACAGGTTCAAGGCATGCGATTTCTATATGATCGTTTATCGTTTATAGACCAGTGCAGATAGCCTTCAAAATAAATAAAAAGTGAAAAAAATTACAGTAGGGTGAAACCCATTAGAAAAGCAGGGGAATATGATCAAAATAATAGGAAAAATAAATTACGGTCGATCTGAGGTCGGGAAGGGGTAGGGGGGGAGTTTTAAGGGTAAAAAACGGTTTATCTCGATTTCCGGAAAAACTGAAAGTCCTATCGAAGAAAGTTAAATGGCAAAGTTGTAGGTAATAAAAAGATCTAAAACTTTTGTATTCACACATTTTTCACAAAACGAATCTTCTTTAAATTATAATTAGATGCCTATTTATTACTATTTTAAGATAACTTATATATACCTGAGTGACCCAAAAAAAATTTTTAGCCTTTAGATGGGCTAAAATTTTCGTATTTCATAGAGAAGTAGGGAAGGGTATGACGGGTCTGGGCGTTACTGCATACGATGTTTTGCATTTTCTGAGAAGATTTACTATGGTAATATATATATATATTTTTTTACCATAGGAAAGTAGAGATTTCAACGAACTGAAAGCACACCAACTTTTTGAAAAAAGCTGAAATTTTGACGTCAGAATTTTTGATTGAAAATTAGGGTATTTTTCGATATTAATTCAAAATAAGGTGAAAAAATAAATATTTTTAATCAAATAAATTACAGTATATTTGGGACATAATAAGGTAAGTTTTCACCAAATTTCGTTAAAAAAAAAGAAATTTGTAAAAGATAAAAATTAAAAACCAAAAACTTGGTTTTTTGAATTTTTCACATAAATTTTGAGGTTATGTGAAAAATGTGTGAATACAAAAGTTTTAGATCTTTTTATTACCTACAACTTTGCCATTTAACTTTCTTCGATAGGACTTTTAGTTTTGCCGGAAATCGAGATAAACCGTTTTTTACCCTTAAAACTCCCCCCTACCTCTTCCCGACCTCAGATCGACCGTAATTTATTTTTCCTATTATTTTGATCATATTCCCCTGCTTTTCTAATGGGTTTCATCCTACTGTAATTTTTTTGGTTTCAAAAATTATCGGCACTGGTCTATTATTCGTAATCGTTTAATTGCAAGTAAAGTGGTACATTAAGATATTTCTTTTGACAATATACTTGACAATAAACTTAATGCTATCTATTATTGTAAGGGACTGGTGCTTGAAAAAGGTTAGGAAAACCTGTTATTACAAGTCACCAGTCCCTCTTGGACAGAGCGGCAAAAAGTATTGTTACTACAACTTTTAAAAACGTACAATAAATAATTTATAATAAAAAAATAAAAAAAATATACCTATATAAAAAAAATAGAAAAAAGTTAACAAAAACAAAAGTCTAGTTTATGTGTGTGTGCGTATGTGCATTTGTGAGTGTTGTGTGTGTAAGTGTACGGGTCAGTGTGAGTGCGTGTGTGTGATGATGTATACTTTAAACTTATGCTACGGAAGTTTAGTTACATGATCTGGATTTTTGTTATAATTATAACATGTATTACATGTGAGCAGTTTTATAAAATCTGAAAGCTTGAAGCTTTATTTTGTGCGCTTCTTCTGCGCTTTAGAAATGTATTTATGCTTTTATAAACGCACATAATATTTTCATACACATATTGGGAGGCAACTGTTAAATATTCATTAAATAATTCTCTTAGCGAGGCACGCGGTTTTATATATAGCGCAAGAAACTATATAGGTATAAGTAAAACATGTTGTTGCGTGCAACTAATGATTTAATAAAGAAAAATAATAAAATTGACATTCTTACTTAACCAATTCTTAAAAGGCCGGCAATGCACGTGCGAGCCTTCTGACAATGTGACTGTCCATAGGCGGCGGTATCACATCAAATGAGCCACCTGCCCTTGTGCCTCCTTAAACTTTAGTGTACGTTATTATCGATAGATGTCTCTTTGAACTATTTGATATTATTTCCAACAGTTATATTATTGCGAAACCTTATAATTCAATGGTGGATTGTAGGTTTTCATTACTATGCCGGGTAATACTTGTTACTGTCAAATAATGTTAAGTCTGAAATAAATGAAAAAGAGAACTAAATGTTTTGAGTTAATATACCTTGTGTAGTGAATATAAGTGCAAGTGCGGTATCTCGGACACACGAACATAGTGTCAATCATAGAACACTAAGACTGTTAATGAACATTACCTTAGTTTAAGTTATTCACTAGGATTGTGGAAAATTAAGTCCACATAATTTAATCCTAAATAATTTTAAGCCATAATTATTGTATAGGCTTAATTGTAATTCATGTAAAAAAAGGGTGCGTGTACTTATGTACGCGCGTAAGAAGTTATACTTCTTTGGCTTTCTTTATTTTTTTTTAAATATTAAATAATTAATAATAAATATTTAACGTTAATAATTTAATAATATTTAGTATATTATTCAATTATTAATTAATATTAATAATAAAAATTATTTATTATTTTATTATATTATTCATTCAATTTAATAACTAGGTATCTTTCATAACCTTTTAACTAAGTAACAATAGGTCTTTGTGAAAAAGCATTGCTAAATTTCTTTGAAAAAATAATTAAAACTCCTTTATTTGTTTAAAAGGTACTCTAAAGGTCATTAAGGTCATTCAAAATTCTTGGCATAGCTGCTAACGTCACGCATATTCTATTTCTTTTTACTTGTACATTGTCTACTTCCCATCTCGCTCGCGCACGCTCGGCGCCCGGCTGGTTTAAAAGAATTCGTTAGTGGGCAACTTCATTCTGTTAATTTTGTGTAACGGTGCGCGCGCATCGTAAAATTTCACTCTCATCAATTTTTCATAACGCGCCTAAAGAAGTATAACTTCAAAAATATATTTTAGTTTACCCTTGTACTAAATAAATACACTAATAGCCATTTGTTTTATAGGAAACCGGAATCCCATCGGATGTATGGCGTTTCTATTTGGCCAGTATTCGACCTGAAACGTCTGATTCGAGCTTCAATTGGACCGAACTATGTACTAGGTGAGGTTTCTCAGTAATATTTCATATTTACTTATTTTTCTGAAATTACTTTATTTACTATGGGGAGAAATACTTTTCTAATAGGTGTATTGCAAATACGCCTATCAAATTCAAGTTTATTTGATTAAAGCACACAAAACAATCACTTTTAGGTATACAATAGGCCCAACTCAGTTTTGATTGACTGATTTTCAGTGGACAATTTCATATTCAAATATATTGTTTTATTTAAAACGTAGGTCAACCAACATATAAACAGACTTTACACACACACACACACACGCAGCTTGTGCTAAATAAGCTATGTAAACAGACTTTACACACACACACATGCAGCTTGTGCTAAATAAGCTATGTAAACAGACTTTACACACACACACGCAGCTTGTGCTAAATAAGCTATATAAACAGACTTTACACACACACACGCAGCTTGTGCTAAATAAGCTATATAAACAGACTTTACACACACACACGCAGCTTGTGCTAAATAAGCTATATAAACAGACTTTACACACACACACGCAGCTTGTGCTAAATAAGCTATGTAAACAGACTTTACACACACACACGCAGCTTGTGCTAAATAAGCTATATAAACAGACTTTACACACACACACGCAGCTTGTGCTAAATAAGCTATATAAACAGACTTTACACACACACACGCAGCTTGTGCTAAATAAGCTATGTAAACACTTTACACACACACACACGCAGCTTGTGCTAAATAAGCTATGTAAACACTTTACACACACACACACGCAGCTTGTGCTAAACAAGCTATATAAACAGACTTTACACACACACACACGCAGCTTGTGCTAAATAAGCTATATAAACAGACTTTACACACACACACGCAGCTTGTGCTAAATAAGCTATATCAAGCCTTTTTTGCCGGCACCGAGCATATAGCTGCAGTCGTGAATAAGCCGCTCATCAACAGCAATCTTAAATTGATAGACTTGTGACGTCAGCGTTACGTATAAAGAAGTGGTGCAGAAGTATTGAAGGACTCCTACCGCTATATACGTCATTATAACATCTTTTGTTTCACATTCTCAGCTCCAAGAACTAAGTTCAAAGACACAATAAAATAAATAAAATAAAATTAACATCTACCAATATATTTTTTTCAGAAATAATTCAGAATTACTAAACAATCTCGGTAACTTCTGCCACCGGTCACTCAGTTTCTGTGCGAATACCTTCAAAGGGAAGATCCCAGAGATGTCATTTTCAAACACAGATTATGTGTTATTTGCGCTTGTCAACAGAGAAGTTGTTGGTGAGTATTATTCATTTAAATTAACACGACTATGTATTTCTCATTCTAATTCTTTATAAATTTGTATGAAGTCAAATTGTTGAAGTATAAAGTCGATGGAGATATGGAAATCTTGATTAGCGCTCTGTGGGCATATTTGGACTTAATTGAAGTACATGCATTATTTGAAGTCATGTAGTGAACTTTACAAATTGTATGGAAAATTTGTCAAAATAATTCAAAAACTTAATTTTTTTGTAAATTTTTGTATAGATGTGTAGTTCGAAAATTAGATTTTTAATAGGATTATATATTTTATATTTTTTTGTAATTGTTTGGGTTATTTTTTTTAAAGTGTCACTAGTTAGTTGCAGTACATAAGGGAGGTTCAGAAACTAGACTTAGCGCTTAGAATGTTAATGCTATAAAAATAACAATTACTCTATAATAAAGTACTATAATAAAATAATACTACTTGCAAAATTGTATGGAAATGCTGATAGCCGTGTAAGAAAAGCTTTAACTCTGGAGACACCGGAGGGCCCTGTCTAATTGTTCTCTTTGACCAATGGTAATTCAGAAACGAAATTATCACTTACGTCTGTCAAAATCGAATTTATTTGACGTACAGAAGTCACACTTAGCGCTAAGTTTCGCTTCTGCTTCTTACCCTAAGCACAAAATTTAATATACGTAGTCGGTCCCAAAGTTCTGTCATAAATGGAAATAATGATAAAAACAAAAGTACTGATCAGTTTGTAATGAGTGATATATCAATTCTTAGTAAATTAATTAAGGAATAAAAAAAACATAAAAATATTCGAAATAACCTCCCTCATTTTTAATACAGGCCCTTAAGCGTCGCGGCCAGTCGTCTATCGCAGCACGCACCATATTCGTGTCCATTTCAGTCACTGGTTTTTTAAAGATGACTTCAGATTCTCCAAATTTTCATGAGGTTTATCACAGACCTTCCTCTCTAAGCCCTGTCATAATTTCTGGTCCAAAGGATTAAAGGTCCGGACTGGAGGAAGGCCAATCCTCATGTCTAATTAAGACGATGTTTTGACGCTCAAACCAGGCTTTAGTGGTCTTGGCTTTGTATGCAGACGCAGAGTCCTGCTGGAACACGAAGTGATGTCCCGCAAATAGGGTGCTGGACATGTCTTTGACAAGGTGATACAAAACCGTCTCTTGGTACACTGTAGCACTGGTTTTGACCCCCTTTTCGAAAAAATTAACCTCAGTTAGCCCGTAATAGGACACTCCCAACCAAACCATTACTGATGATGGATGATGTCCATGTTGCACCCTTGGAACTTTATTTTCAGCTTCTTCAGAACTCTTAGCGTACACTGTATAATTCTGTTTATTGTACTTCTCTTCAATATCGAAAAATTTTTCGTCCGTAAAGAGGATATCACGGTGTCGGTTTTTCGCGTACCGCTTAAACAACACCCGCGATCTCTTAAGCCTTATTGCTTTTAGACGAGCATTAAGTAAGTGCCCACTCTTTTTTTGTATGCTCGTAGACCAAGATCTTCATTTAAAACCTTTTTTACTGTTTTCCTACTGACACCCATCTGCAAATCCATCAACTTCTGTTTTCGGACAGGATTTCTTACTATCCGCGCCTTGATAGCTTTGATTACTGCTGGTGTTCTTGCGGAGCGTGGCCAGCCAGTTCTTTTCTTGTCCTCAACACTGGAGACTTCAAGGTACCTATCAATAGTACCGTACACAAACCTAAGCGTTATATTCAAATTTTTGAGCAACTTGAAAATGGTACTCGGCGAGTGTCCACAGCGGTGCAACGCAATAACAACTATTCGGTTTACTTTCAATGTCCACTCCATCGTGAAAAATTACGGAAAGTTATTGTTTTTTGTTTTAAAACAATAATCAAACATTCCAAAATAGAATGCAATAATTTTTTTATAAAATCCTGCTCGAAATGTAGAAATAATGTGCTAGTGACAGAACTTTGGGACCAACTACGTAAAATTATAGATTTCTTAATAATTGTATTTCAGCGTACGTACAAAATATGGAAAAAGGCCGTCTTCGAGAAGCGCTCAGGCATGTCATGAGTGTATCTCGACTTGGGAACCAACACATGCAGAGCGAACAGCCCTGGGTCCTGCTTAAGGGATCTCCGGAAGAAAAGTAACATTTATTAATTTATATAATATCTACATTTTAACTATAAATAGGAATGCTTTTCGTATGTATTCTCTGATTTTTAATTCCGTAGAATACTGACAGATATCATTTTTTGACATGTCAGAGATGGCAAACCTTTTTGGCAAAGCATTTTTCAAATTCAATATGAGTCTGAACATCTGAGTCTATACATACATTTATTGTTAGTTAATGTACCCATTTTTTTAAGTGCGGTGGTCCACACTTAAAGTGGTTTAAAGGCGAGTGACAATGACGTCCCTTTTCATCACAAACAGTAAAAAACGCACCAGTGAAGAAAGATAACATTTTCTTTTAAGGTTTGCTAAGCCTGGAATTAGTAGGCCGTGATGCCAGCTAAAGAATAAAATAAAGTAATTAAAATTGATTCGATATATTGTTCGTGATATTGAAATATTTGTGATTTTTGTATTAGGTCACTTGAGTAAGTAAATATTTACCTTTTTGTAGGTAAAACATAAAAATACGTAGAATGTTTTTATTGCCCTCAAATAAGTCAAATTTGTCCCTTTTTCGGTGGAGAACTTTTTTAGTAGCAACACTTATGAAATGTCAGAATTCTACGGAATGTCAAATCAGAGTATATGCTACACTGAATTAATTATATAAATTACTAGCTTCCCCCGCGAACTTGGTTTCTCCTTAATGTGATTTTACTTAGCTTACCTTTTTAGTACATACCAACATGGAACATTTTGCTATTCTACCCCAGAGACTGTTCGGTTTTCTGGAATGAAAACTTTTTAGGTTTTTCTTTGAATTTATCTCTATATTAACCTGAGTTCAGACTTCAAGTTATAAGATTTTAATTAATAAATAAAAAATAGGGGTTAATCGTAAAGGGGTGAATATTAAGGGTTGTATGTATTTTTGTATGCTGTATCATAAAAACAAAAAAAATATATCTAAAAAATAAAAATTTAGGGGTGGACCACATTTAGGGGTTTGAAAGATAGATAGTAGCCGATTCTCAGACTTACTGAATATGCATAAAACAATTCATAAGAATCTGTGGAGCCGTTTCGGAGGAGTATGGGAACGAATATTGTGACACGAGAACTTTATATATTAGATATAAATATTCGCGTAATATGTGACAATTATTAAGAATCGCCATTGGTCAGACATTGCCTTCCTATATTCGTTTCACAAGTTTAAAGCAGTTTTTGCCGCGCACCACTTTGTGGAACCAGCTGTCCACTGAAGTATTTCCGAACCAATTTGACTTAGCTTATTAAAACTAAACGCACTTGCGAGCCGTCTGATAAAAATTATCAAAGAAACTAATGCAATCTGAGGCTAGACCCATTTACAGTTGTAGCTTGGATTATTATTATTACTTCGTTCTGAATTATTTATTATTCATATAACGGAAATGCGATTATTGCAAATACTTTGTTTATTTTTAAGTATTTGAAAATTTTCCAGAATTCGTGGTTCGACTGCGATAGCTGTTTGTTGTCAATTGGTGGCGCTATTGTGCACTTTGATAGCGCCATATATGCCTGACACCAGCCGAAAGCTGAAGGCCCAGCTTAACTTGCCTGATACCAGCTTCAGGATCAACCCCACGTGAGTAAACTTTGCTTTAAAAATTCATTGGTGCACGTGATTGGAACAAAGGACTTGCGGGTTGAAAGTCGCTTACACTGGGCTAATACTGCTTAAAACCAACATTAAATCAAGGGATTGGAGATCAAGTAAAACTAAATTTAAAAAAAACTGTTACTCTAGTAATGTGACCTAAGATTTGTTAATTTAAATATATATATTTTCTAGTAAATAATGACAAGCGCAAACCAAATGATAGCAATAATCGCATACTTGAAGCTAAAATGAGCCCTTTAGTTTTTCACACACTCATAAATTGTAATACAACATTCTCGTTTCCGATAATGTTCAAAAAGGTTGAATACACTTGTAATGTATTGTATTAAGTGTCCCTTAAATTTAAGAATTTAATTAGACAAGTTAGTTTTTTGTTAGTCCAGCGTCGCAACCCCTAATTTCATGTTAGTTATAAGCACACCCAGCACCTCCCAGTCCAACAAAGAGTTTCATTTATTTGAACATCCTTCCGACAACATCCACCGAACTTAACTCTCTTCTTACTAATAAAGTATAAAATAATGTAATCATTTACACGCATTTAAAAAAATTAAATACGAATACAGGAATCCCGCATTATTCCAATACATTCCCACGGGACATGTAATTGGCAAGCCGGAGCCGCTTTTCGCCAAAATAGAGCAGGAGTTAGTGGACACAATGAGGGCCAAATATGCTGGGACTCAAGCTGAAAGAGCTAAGGTAAATGGAGCATGAGGTATTTTATCGATTAAATGGCTCATTACGTAGAGTGAAAATAGCCCAGCACGAATTCTTACACATTAAATCTATGGGGTAGATAAAGTAACCAACTAAATTAATTTGTTTATTTAATTTAATATTACAAAAATAATATAAAAAGTTAACATAAGAGCATCCAATAACAAGCCACCAAGCGCTCTGACTCACGTACCACTGGCATGTTACCTGCGTGCACGCACACATACGCGCGAAATATGCAAAACCAGTTTTTGTGGGTACGTAAGTTACGTGTAACGATAAAAAGATGTCGATAAAGTGAATAATAATAAATAACATGTTTATGCTACAAATCAATCGACACTAGGTTTATGTAAAAAAAGATAGAAAAGAAACATCTAAAGTCACAAAACACATATTAAAATTACTTATACAACACACTAAGGCGCGAAACATACAGAAAAGGCGTAAGGTGAAGGCGCGGCGCAGGCGCAGAGCCGGCGTGGAACGGATAAGGCACGGATGCGACTTAAATTATATAAAAGAGGCGAAGAGACGGCACAAAGAGGCATACGCAGACTGACTTTATCGTGATAGCATGTCTTCCTCTTCAGATGACGAAGATGCGCTCGCTTTGCTGCAACTCATTAATGTGCAGAGACACCGAAGATATTGGTGATGTGCCTGTGCCACGCCGCTTCAGTATAATTAACAACGTGCATTTGTATTGACGCGTTTTGAAGCGGCAAGATGCCTGCGCCGCGCCTTCACCTTACGCCTTTTCTGTGTGTTTCGCGCCTAAAACAAAGTTAAATATGACGCGAGAAGAAAGCAATTAAGAAAAGAAATCTTAGCGAAAGAAAACGAATAACAATAAGAGTGAAGTTTGGTTGTTTATTGTGAACTGTGCGCTGCTCGCACTGAGGGTGAGATCTATAGTGCGCACTTAGACTTTGCTCTGACTTAACTATCGAGCTAAGACACAGTCGGTATTTATAGAGCAAACTGCGAATCTCTCCCTAGTGTTGGCTTAGCTTAATCTCAAGTCCACGAAATCGACGACTTACCAAAAACTTTGACTATAAGCCTAACAAAAATAATGGCCCAAAATTTGCTTTACCATCATATCTTTTACTGGACTTTTTATTTTTGTCGGTTTTTAATGAACGGTGTTGCCATTTTGTATCGGAGTTCCATAGACTTTGGGAAAAATAGAATTTGAATTGAAAGAAATTATAAATGATCTTGATAAATACCTATGAAATGCATGAATTAAAATAATTACACATTATTATGGTATTTATTGTTGTTTATTTATATTATTTATGTAATTGTTCAAACCCCATTTTTGAGAAATCTTAAAAATAACTGGTGTGATTTTGTATGTCACCTGGCAGCCCTGGCATATTATAGTGAAAGTGACAACGAAATTCAAACTGTAACCTAACCGATGTCTCTCGCTTCACATCTGTTATTTTCGTTTCCCTGAATCTTCTACCATTTATTACCTGACTACCCTAAAATATTTGAGATAGGAGTGGAACATATGAAATTAAAAAATCTGTTAGAAATAGAATTTCTTCAACAAAAATATAAATTAGTATTAGAAATATGTATTACACTTAAAAAAAGAATCAGAAAATAAATGATTAAAATGAAACAAGTTTTGTTTTGATATTCTTTATTACCAAACAAATTACCTAGTTAAATTGTGCAATCACAGATTGCCGGAATGCTAGACCTGTAGGAGATCTTTCATTTTTTCTGTGTTACTCAACTTCTGCTGTCAGCAAGATCACCATCATCATAAGCATCCCCTCTCTGTATACCTATATTATGCAATACAGCACAAGCTATAATTATATATAACTAGTATTTGTAAATTTTGACTGTAGTCCTAGCTGTAAACATGGAAATTTCCTTTTTCACACTCCGAAAAACCTTTAAAAAATATGCCTAGTTCTTATTTGAGAATAATTATAAATATTGTCAGCTCTTGTCATTGGATTTAAAAGTGTTGTTAACATGAAGTTAAGTGCTGGATAACCGCTGTCACCTACTAAAACAGGCATTTTCTAAATATCCTTCTGTCGTGTGAACTGCCAGGCCACCTAGTCACTATAGCAAATATTTCCATATCAGGCCCTATTATTGCTTGCACATTTACAGAAAAATACCCTTTTTTATTTCTGTATGCTTCAGAGTGAGCGATACCTTTGGGTCTATTAATTTTTATATGGGTGCAGTCAATAGCTCCGATTATACTGTTTAGGCCATGGTGAGTATTAGATCTTCCTAATTCTTCAAACTTCGTTTTGGCTGTGTTCATATTTCTTGGAAAATTTATAAATCTAGGAAGTAATTTACTCAACTCTGCAGAGACTTTATTTATAATTAAACAGACTGTAGATGGGCTTATGCTGTTCAGATCACCACACACCATCTGTAATGTCAATAAATTATTATTAGTCACATATATGTTATGTTTCTGAAAGTCAGAAGACAAAAGTCTTCAACATATGTATTTAAAATCATTTGAGAAGAGGTATAATATATCAAATTGAAAAACCATACATATTTATGAACACAATATTACCTGAAAACATCCAGTTGCATTTTTATGCCTTAATGCAATAAGTATTTGCAATTGCGGTAGGTTTGGCGATCCTCTGTTGTTATAAGGTTGCAAGTTTGTAATGATCAGCGTCAGGATCACATTTAATACCGTGTGTTTCAAAATACGGTTCCTTCTTTTGAATTCATTCTCACCGTACAGGATTGAAGGATTTTGGTTTTATTAGTTCCGAACATATACAACACTTTAGGCATTCGTGGATTCATATCGGCTGCAGTTCCTATCCTTTCAATGTTTTCTATTGAAGATAGAACTCTCTCTCTCTCCATCATGTCACTTTCGATATTGATATTTCCAAGCGGTCCATGTAACAAAGCCAAATCACAAAACGTCACAGTGCTTCGGGAATGCGTAGGTCTTAAGTAGGTATACGATCCAGATTGGTCCAGGTCCAAGTCACAAAGATACAAACAGAAACAGAAAAGAGAAAAAGTGGTTTAAAATTTTCAATTGTTGATAGTTGATACAAGTGCTCTGTTGCTGTTGTCAAAACATTGCGATCCGTTCTACGTAATAAAATTATTGTCATCTTTAAATAATTAATACATTTTCTAAAGGTTACTCGTAAATTTCTAGTTATTGCAATAATAAAATAAATGAATACATAAATAACAATAAATTGAAGATATATGTGTACCGTTTTAGATGTTTAAATATTTGTTATTGTTTACTTTTTTAAAGGATAATAAACAAAGTATGGCATGAAATGAAACATCAATTTGTATTTTGACATTTTCTGTCTTAGCTTGGGCTTAGCTTAATCTCACCGTTAAAATGTCTATAAATACGAAATCATAGTTTAACCTTAGTGTACACTAAGCAAAGTTTTTCGTAAGGTAAGTCTAAGCAAAGTCCAAGTGCGCACTATAGATCTCGCACTGAGACTGGCTGCGGGCTGCGCCCTCCGGACGCGTGTCGTCACACATTCATAAAATGAGTGGAAACCGGTGGAAAAGGAGTATTTATTTAGTTATTAAGCTTACGACATCACACACAGTACTAAATCTACTAATTATTTTACATCTAAAATGTGTGACAATTAAAGTAAACATAAGTTTCACAAAAAAAAAATAGAAATTAAAAAATACAATTATAACATATACAAAATAATACAAGCACACAATAAAATAAAATAAAATTATAGAAATTTGTTGGCACTTGAAGCAGAAAAAAGAGAAAAATCATCAGCAAAACAGCGAAATTCACTGCCTCTGTATATGATTATTGAGCAATTTATGCAAGTATTATTCTTGTTCGCCACACATAAACTAATTAAGTTAAATGTGTAAGAATTTATGCTTGTCCATTTTTCCAAGCAAGCAAGAACTAAATATTGTTAAGAAAGTCAGGAAAATAGTCTTCAGTTAATATTGTGTTAAAATTAATAACATATGATAGAATAATGAGCCCATGATAAAAATAATATTGTCTCGCCAGTTTTTCACTTTGTCTGTAAATTGAAACATTTTCAACATATATATTTCCAGATATCATTAGGTAATATTTAAAAAAAAATTTTTACATATAGTATATTCGTAATATGTATTATATATTTTTAGCAAAACGGTGATGTGAAAACTGGCGCCTCTACAAATGTTGGTGATTTGGAACAAGCCATCGCTGCGCAGGTAAGCTGTTTTATACTTTTAAAATTCAATAAAAACAAAACATGTATGTTAAAATTTAATACATTTTTGATGTAAGAGCTTTAGCGCAAAAACTATTATTATATGTTTTTTTTTATTAAAACAAATCTATATTTTCTTGTTTAATTGTTATGATATATATTTGAATTATCTGGAGGAATAAATTCAATAAATTATATCGACACATTGGGCTTAATTCAAAAATTCAAAATTCAAAAATCATTTATTCACGTAGGTAACACAAAATACACTTGTGATTCGTCATTAAAGAAATACATATTAATGCTTCTAATTTTACATTTACTGCCAGTTCTCAAATCAAGGGCGTAGAACGGAAGAGAAGAACTGGCAATAAACTCCGCCACTCTTTTTAATCGCCATGTTTTTTTTTTACACAACGTTTGTAAGGAGCTGCAACCATTACACCATGTTCCACATGACATCTTAAGTAATTAATAATAATAACATAAATTAAAAACAAAGACTTGCCCTCTATCAGCAGGAGGCATGGTGAAATAGGAGCACGCACTTACATTCTCGTGGGAACAACACGCAAACACATAGTCGAAATAATTAACATCACCTCATACACGAATTCAAGTACGACCAGTCACCACAAGTAGCACCCGTTCACGAGTATGACGCATGGCCAGCCATCGGCCCCCTCGCCATATTTTAGGGAGAGAGACAACCCGACGCATGGACGCCGCCACAAGCAATTCGAACCTAGTTTAAGATTCTAAATCGAGTAGCTAACCAATTCATAAAAGGCCGGCAACTCACTCGCGAGCCCTATGGCATTGAGTGTCTCACTCAACATCCCTTATTGAACACAATAATTTATCCACAATTTTAGATTGTTTTCAGACCGTGACGGTCCATCGATCTCCTATCTGCTTCCCAATAACCAAACCCTACGTAGACAATCCATTTTTGGCGACGGTTAAAATGCTCTTTGTCGTTCCATTTTACCGAGTTTTCACTCATATTTGATAATCAATGTAAACCAAATAAAGTAAATAAAACCGTACAAATAACATTAAAATATACATGTGTATGTTTAAAACATAACAAACAGTTTTTTTATAAATTTAAAAGTTAAAATCTGTTAAAATAATTAACTGTTGAAATCGAGCTTTCGTCAACTGTCATTTTCATACAAAGGTCAATTCCACAGACACCGATACGACCTCCCATAGATAGCTTGTATCGACAAATGACTATAACAATCCGTCGATTGGTTATTGGCACACGTGTAACAACATTTAGATTAAGATTACTATCTCAGATGGTGGGTTATGGATTGAGATAGGTTATTGGGTTAGGGCGTTAGACACCTCTCTTTTGAGCTAAGGGTTCAAAGATAGGGATTATTGAACCATGGTATTTTATCCTATACAGGGTGAGAAAGTGCGTCAGTTAAAAGCGTCCACAAAAGACAAGGCAGTGTGGCAACCGGAAGTGAATAAACTTCTCGAGTTAAAGAAGCAACTGACGGCTGCCCAAAGTCAGCCTGTGTCGGATATTGCCAGTCTCGAAAAAGCTGTCGCTGAACAGGTAATAGTATTTATAGAACATTTATCTTACTTTTATATTTTCATACCATCTACAACTTGTTTTGACAAGAGTGTTACATATAAAAGGGATAGAGTACTTTTATCTTTGTATCTTTATTAGTTAGTAAAATTTACTTAATTTAGTTAGGGAGCGTTTAAGTATTACGTTACGAATTTTGTAGGGGGTGGGGTCCTTGGGTACAGAAAAACGTTACGGCGCGTTACATGGGGGGAGGGGTCAAGAATCTCCAAAAATTGTGTGACGTAATACTATAACGCTCCCTTACGCACTTTACCCTTAGCATTTATTGCTTATTGCTCTTGCTTACTAGGGTTGCCTGGAAGAGATCGCTTGTAATAAGGCCGCCAGTTGCCTCATTAATAATTTAATCTGGTTGTATGTGTACTATCCACGGAACAAAGTGTTAATAAACAAATATGTTGCCATAACTTTCAAGACCGTTTTCGAGTATTTAAAATAATTTGTACTTTATTAAAACATTCACTTGTCTTTAACTTAAAAGTTGTTTTTCGTAAATACAGTTTATAATTTCTACACACTTTTATTATTAATTAATATTTTTCACGATTTATGTCTTTCAGGGAGAAAAGGTAAGAAAATTGAAAGCGTCCACTAAAGATAAGACAGTGTGGCAACCGGAAGTGAACAAATTGCTAGAATTGAAAAAGCAAATGGCGACCGCTCAGTCGATTGTAGCAACACCCGCTAATGTTGCCAGCTTGGAAAAAGCAATCGCTGAACAGGTAATAAATTTTTTAAATTATAAATTTATAAGAAAATCTAGAAATATATATATATTGTAGTATAAATCATAATTTCGAAAATTCAATATAACTAAAATAAAATATTTTGGTTAATGGGGGCGACATTCCGGGAGCATAAATTGCATTCTTGGGTTCGTGTCCCGGTAGTAAAATATTCTTTGGGATGATTGCCTACTGTCGCAGAAATGTAGCTATACTGATTTACGGATCATTAAAAACAAATTATATTTACCTTCAATTAATGTGTACCTTGCAAAAGCTTTTTTTAGTTTTTGAAAAAAATTTGCCATCATAGTTCTATCTTTAGTGTACGTTATAAAATGAGAGCGTTAAAGTTAAAACATACATTTCAGGGTGACAAAGTACGAAAACTAAAAGCTTCGACAAAAGACAAGACAGTTTGGCAACAGGAAGTCAACGTGTTGCTAGATCTCAAAAAACAACTCGCTGCGGCGCAAGCTAAATAAATGTTTTGAAAAGTATTCTCTGTATATAGCAATGTGCAATAGATATGTACAAACATGTGTTCATTGCGTTTGTGGTATTTATTTTAGTTCGTAAGTCCCGAGCTAATCTCAATAAACTTTTACTTGTATGCGTTTTATTGATTATAGCGCCATCTAGTGAATCCTCATTATTGTAAGTATCCTTAGAAGAAAGCCTTAAAATCGGGTACAAAGTTCTGTTTCTACAGTTTCTATGCTTTATGATTAAATAGCGTCATTTGATATTGACAGTCCTTTAATCGACCTTATAATAAGACGGTAATTAAAATGGTGTAAAAAAATAATGATACCCATGATAACAAATACCCATTTTATCATAGGACCTAATTGAGATATTTAATGTGTTCCATAGGAATTTCAAGATAAATAAAATACGGAAACACACGGGAAGAATACCCTAGTTATGTAAAATCGAACATGGCCAAACCAATTTGACTCAGGGGCTTTAAGAACCTTACCAATTCTTTAAAGGCCGGCAACGCACTCGCGAGTCCTCTAGCATCGTCCATTGGCGGGCGGTATCACTTAACATTAGGTGAGCCTCCTGCCTGTTTGCACTGTTCTTTTAAATAAAAAAAGGGTGCGTGTACTTATGTACGCGCGTAAGAAGTTATACTTCTTTGGCATTATTAGAAATAGATTTTGATTGCATGCAAATAATTAATTATAATTAAATAATCAAAGACTGGAAAAGGAGTCATTATAGTCAATAAAGTTCAGTTTACATTTGAAAAATTTAATAAATAAATATTTATAATTATTCTCTTACAAAATAAAAAAATTTTATAATTCATATTATAAAATTTTTAACACATTTATATTAATATAATTATATAAATGTGTTAATAATATAATTTGTAGCACATGCTACAGACCTGGATAGCAACTTTCTTTTATTCTATTTAGAGATAGAGATAATTTAAATATAATACCGGTGTCTTCCTTGTAGGTTTCTTTTGAGTTGTTTGGGGATTCTTGTTGATCAGTTCGACATGATTTTCTTTAACCTTTCTTTAATCCTACAAAATAATGAAATTGTTAAGTTATGTTGTCACTGTTGTGCACACCTTTGTTTGGCTTTTTTAGTATTCTAGTTATGTCAAAACTGATTTATTACCTTGTCATTGTTGGCTTTATTTGCTTTTGGGATAGCAATTGTTTCCAAAATGATTTTATTTGTAATATCCTGAAATATATAAATAACATCTATTAATTTAAGTGTCATGGTGAGTGGTTCGCACTCAGGTATTAAGGTGTATTATACCCACTGTCCATTATAAGTGGGAATGGGCTCACTTCTGGCTGGACAGAGTTTCGGTACTACAAGAGCAACATGGATGTTTTGAGGTATTACAATATCTCTAACTACCCTGTAGGGGAATAAAGTATGTGCCTATGCTTGAGAGGTTGAGCCTTGAACATCACCATCATATTTATAATTAACATTCCTACCTCGACACCATCACAATCAAATTCATTGAAATCTACTTCAAACCGTTGCGGTATCATCTCTGCCATATCCATTGTGTCTGGAGAAGGTGATGGTGGCTTTGTTCCACCTCTTGTTTTTGATGTTTCACGGCGATAAGATGACAACTCTTTTTTTTTATTCAATTTAGTGCACTTCCACTGAAATTGTTTTTTGTCTCTTGTCCTTATATTTGCTAGATTAAATCTGAAAAATTACATGTTTTGATTAAATAATGTAATCATTTTTTTGAGATGCAGGTACTTATTAAAATGTTTACTTCTCTGTAATATCGCTCCAAGCCTTCATTTTCTCCTTATTAGTATTCGTGCTTAAATCTTTGTTCTCAATTATTGATATATAGGGTCGTAGAATATTTCTAAAAAGTTGCTGTAACAAACGCAATAAACAAAAGTTAATTAAGTTCATGTTTCAGTTTTAATCAACAATAAAACTCGATAATACATACGGATAGTTAACCTCAATTGTATTGAAGCACTCAGGAAGGTTGGCACAGTTTTTTCACAAATATTTTATCATATTAATTAGTATTGATTTAGATATTCAATTTCTGATTATAATTCAGACGCACATATAAAATTCGCACTTGTATAATGAAAATAACTAGGTACTTTTAGAATCTTTTATTTTAAACAATAATTCAAACTCCTATATTTGTTTAAAAGGTAAATGTCATTGTCAGATGTCAATTGTCATGGATATTCAAAATTCTTGTTAAGCTGCTAAGCTAAGAAATAGAATATGCGTGAAGTTAGCTTATATTCTATTTCTTTTGTAGATTGCGCACGCTATAATCACACTCCGAATTTTGTGTCATAGGTGCGCGCGCATCGTAAAATTTCACTCTCATCAAATTTTCATAACGCGCCTAAAGAAGTATAACTTCAAAAACCAACTATCTTACCCGAGACTCCGGCTACCAGGCAAACCTGGCATCGAATATCATATTTCTGTTTCTCCTAGCATTAGGCAGACATCATAATAATTAATAACAAATAATAATCGTTAAAATGCTTTATTTTTTATTCTTCTTCTCGGACTTTGATTTCTCTCTTTTCCTCTTATTAAGTGGGTTCCGTGGATCGTAAATATCGAACCAATCGTCGCTCTTCGTTGATGCATCTTTCGCTAAAACGGCCCCTTTTTCTTCAAAACGTAATGTGTGACTCATCCTGGAAAGCGTTTTAATATATAAAAATATTATAGAAAATAATTGTTTGAAGTGAAACTTCTTTAGGCGAATGAGGGTAAATTTTTAAGAAAACGTCACGAAGACTTGCAGCGTTTTTGTCGAAGAAAAGGGTTTTGAAAAAGCGATTGAGACCGATTGAGAGAGAGTGAGAAGGGCGAATTACCTTATAGAAATTCGAATAGAATAGAATACAAATAAAATTTCATAGAGAATTTATGAAATATTAATATTTTATGCAAAACAATTTATTGAAATCTCAAATGACGAATTGTAAATTAAACAACTTCCTGTTTCCCTCCCTCTAAGTCTCGGAAATCTAAAGTTTTAGATTTGTATAAATATGAACTAGAGTTAAAAATAAGTTTCCTAAAAAAGTTTCACTTCTGACATGTGTACTTTGTACGCACGCACTTTTTTTTTAATGAATCGCTGAGCCAATCTTATTTATAGTATTTACATAATTTTCTTTAAAATACAACAGGTTTATGAAACAAGGTATAATTCTCTTATTTCCTTACCATTCATCAGTGTTTACGTCCTCATCATTAGTCGATTCCTCTGGAACCGGACCTTTTTCTTTTATTGCGTGTAGCTTGTTCTTGAATTTGGCCAACAGCTTCAGAGTGAAGTCTTCCCTGTAACAAATTTAAACTATGATACACATACATAATAGTCAGAGCAAGATGGGCGAGCCTACAAACCGAGAATTCGTTAGGCACTTTTATTTGTAAATAGCCGTACCAACAAGGCCACACAACAAAAAACAGGATAGAAGTTATAAATTTTGCTACCAATGTGTGTTCTCGGAAACCTATAACATACCGATGTTTACAATCAATAAGTCTGTCTACACAGACAAAGATTACTATTGGATCTCAAAACAGCGCAAAAACCTAACAGACTGATTGATTACAGAATGCCCTTCCTGTGTTAGTAATCACAAGCAAAACAAACGGAAATGAGGAAGCGAAATACCATTATTTTATCTCCTTGTGGAAGGATTAATGATTTACCATTTGAGTATTCTACACGTGTGTGTTTGCTCACTCTTTTTGTAGATTCGCTAAATAATGGGCACACATCGATAATAAAAATTCTATTATTGCACTAAGTAGGTACTGCTTACATTCTTAATGGGAAGAACGGTTTCCTTTTTTGGGAAGAACGGTTATTTAAAAAACCTTCGACAACGATATACGCTGCGGGCTTCTGTGTTCAGGAGTATTTGCAACTTAAATTAAATAATCTTTGATTTATTGCACAAATCTAGTGCTTGTGAAGGAAGAAGGTATACAGTTCATGCTAAAAGCAGGACCCTCGGCCAGTCATACCACTAATTGACTGACCCGAGGGCCCTAATGATCGAGTTGTATAAATCATTAGCGGTTAGAATAAATTGGTTGGCGCGTTTCAGTGTATGTGTCTCAGTGATTGTAGGTCGCTAAAGAAGCTAAGAGAATCTGCCAATGACTCCTCATTTAACGGAATTTTTTTAATTCTATATTTTTCTGTAGACTACGAAACAGGATTATGGAAGGATAGTAATAAAACATCTATAATAAAAATTCTAACGTAATTTTACTACTTATACAATATAAAAAACAAACAATACATAATATATAGTATTAGTTGTACTACTTATACAACTAATACTCATATTAAGAAATGATATACGTAATCAAATGTTCTATGGTAATAACTTCACTGATTTGGCCTTTGTCACAAAATTATTCAAAATTAGCCGTCCTTAACTTATAAACATTTTGTTCTATATATGTTACAACAATAATCTTTGTGGTCTTCACAAATAAATATCAAATCAATGTATACAAAGTATTGTAAAAACTATTTTAAAAGAGTAAGTATGGAGTTTCTTGATTATTTTTCTCCATATGAAACCTTTTGGAAGGGGCAACAAGTCATTTTTTTTCCCATTTTTTCCTTGTAATTTTGACTTTAAAAAGTGCCTTTTTAATAGGCCTAATTGAAATAAATGATTTGACGTTGAAATTAAAATATTAATGTAAAAGTATTTATATATTTCAATCATCATCAATTTCTTCAGAGCTATTAAGTATAGCCTCATCCCACGGGCCGTATTTATTATCTTTATACTTCTGCCATCTTACAAACATAAACGGACAATAACCACACAAAACGGACACAAAAAGCATAAAATAGCACATTAAAATTCCCGAAAGGCTATATAACGCGACCAGAGTCAAAATCACAATAATAAAAAACAAAATTATAAACAATTTGGAATGAAGATATACTTTAAAAAATCTAGGACTCAAAACGAAAAATTTCACAGATATAGTTAAGAGAACGAACGCGTCGAATGGCGTATTCAATCTCGAAACGAGACAAACAGACGCAAAAATCGCCGCATTTATCGATAACGATTTTGAAACAAAGGCCGCCGGGACGTCGTAGTCAAAAAACATCAGATGTAGCAGCATCATGATAACCGCCCATGCGTAAATAGTATCTGTGCTGACCGTATCTGTCAGTGTGTGCAAAATAGGCGAAAGAATATAACCTAAAACTATATACACTAACACAACCTTAAAATGTATTAAGATATCACGTTCCACGCACACATATAAACAGTAGCACGCACACATAATCAAAACGGACACGTAGATCACTGTGTATGTGTGAATCCACTTATTGTACATATACGTGTATAGTACAGCGTACAGCACACATATACACAATCGGAGGACAACGCGAAATGAGCCTTTCACAGCTTGTAATAAAGTCACTTTTTCAATAAAAAGATTTTTTCTCAAATGCTCCAAGAATTTCGAGTCGGTGTAATTGTCTGGGTAATCTCGATTCTCATATAAATTCTTCACCCACGGTTTCCTTCTCATCGGTTTTCGTGTTAATTTCGAACGTCTGGTTCTGAAAAGACGTATTTCCTCTTAGTATCGAGTATGTGTCGACGCCTTTTAGATTTCACTTTACTTTATATTCCCATATGATTTCAAAGACATATAGAAGTTGGTGTTTTGAGCGTATTTTAAAGGAATTTCAACCTCAGCAGTAACCTGGTGAATTCAGAATTCTACCGTCCAATAGCGTCGGTAGGACGTAAAAACAAAACATACAAAAACGTCGGGATCGCTATCGCTATTGGTAGTTACAGTTAGGACGTCGTCGATTTTTACATGGAAAATTATTTCGAACTGACTATCTTATTGACGTATTTGAAATGATTATTGCATGTTTGTAAGGAATAATCTCAAAAACTATTGGACCAATTTCAAAAGCACTTTATTACTTCTTGCTATATTTCTGAGTAAGCCTATATTTATATGAAATATTTTTAAAAAGTCCAGACGTACAAAGTGTTATGGCGTACACTTAAGGTGAGATTCAGAAACGATACTTACACGATGTCGACACGTACGTCAAAATACATTTTGATGTACAGAAGTCGGACTTAGCACTAAGTGATGTTTCTCAATCTTAACTTTAAAATGCTAGCCACACCCTTGCTATGCGGCTCACTAGTGCCGGCCTTTTTTAATTAAGTAATTTTGTATTATAATAAAATTTAATATATTTAAAACAAAATAATTTTTCAAATTTTGAATAATCGAGTAGTTTAAGAAATAAATTTATAATAAAATACCTGGCAGCCCCTTTTTTTGGTACCGTCTCCTTAATTTTTTTATATTTGTCCTGCTCTTGCACAAATTGCTGATACATTTCGTTATTTTCAATAGTTTTCTCTTTCGTCTCTTTCTCTACTTCTTGCGGCTTTTCTTCTTTCGGAGCACGCATCTCCTTTCTAAGCTGTTTTATTTCGCTGCGGATTTGATCTCTAAAAATAGAATTGATTATTATCTTATAGAATCTCTGGAATTAGTTTATTTTTTTAATACAAAGGTATTTTAATCGAAGTAATATAGAAGTGTGTTTAATTATGATAAATGTTCTCACCTCTTTTTTTTCCTCTCTATATCTCTCTCTTTCCCCAAGTAGTACTCTCCGTCACTATCGCTATCTCTTTTCTCTGTATCACTATCTTCTTTCCTCTTTTTGCTATCTCTTTCCTCTGGACTTCTATCTCTTTTACTCAACTTATCACGTATACTAGAAACCGCAACCGCTGTTTCTTCTTTCTTCTTGTCACTCTCTTGTTTTGATTGTTGCTCCATCTCTTTGTCTTGTTCCAACTCTAATTCTGAAAAGGGGTTTTGAAAAAGAAGATAGTTCAGTCAAAATTATTTATTCACACAATGTACACTTATGCACGTCAGAAAAATATATATATGAAATGCTTCTAATTTTACATTTATTGCCAGTTCTCAAATCATGTCGGCGTAGAACGGAAGAGAAGAACTGGCAATAAACTCTCCGCCACTCTTTTTAATCGCCAAGCTTTTTGTTTTACACAAAGTTTGTAAGGAGCTGCAACCATTACACCATGTTCCTCATGAACTCTTTAAGTAATAAATAATAATAAAATAAATTAAAAACAAATATTTGGCCTCTATCAGCAGGAGGCATGGTGAAATAGGAGCACGCACTTACATTCTCGTGGGAACAACAAATAAAAACGTAATTAAAAACTAAAAAAGATTAGCGTCATGTAATCTTATATGTATGATATAAACAAGAAAATATAAAAAATTGATATTCTTACCGGCGGCCGTTTTGCTGCTAAGCTTTGGATCTGATAATAAGTCATGTGTTGACTTTGGCTTCCCACGGTACTCCATCGCCTCGCCTTCTTCTTCCTCTGCCTCCTCCCCAAAGGATAGGAGGCCAAAATTCCTGAAAAAATGAACTTTTATGACCACAATACATAATAAGCCAAGTGGGAATCTACTGAGTTACGGTTGGCTTCCTTCAAATTCAAACAATTTTTCTTTTAATCAACTTCAGATAAAACGAAGGACGGTATCATTTCGACTATTTTTTTTATTGAAAGGTAATGAATGAAATGAAATACAAAAGTTTCTTGTATTTTTTTTTGGATGAAAAAAAGAGGAAAATTATATGTTGTTATATTTGTAAAAAAAATTTGTTTAAGATAAATATATTTTTAAAAATGATTGCTTAGAGTTCTCTGTATTAGTCTTGGCACTCTTAGCGGGTTTAAGTTTTCTGGTGTAAATAAATAAATTTAAATAACCATATTGCTTATTTTCAACACTGCCTAAATAGTTGAATCATGGACAGAACACCACACAAACACCTAAATAAAAACTTATTTGGTGTCTATGGAGTGTTTTTTGCTAGCAAAGCTTGGGCTGGGAAAATAATAGAAATCACTTGAAAAATGTACCATAACATAAATATTTTTTTGTAGTTTCTGAGGTTAGACAGTGTCAAACAAACTCGAACAACTTTATAGTGACTCCAACAAATGTACTATCCAATTTTTTAAATGAATTACAACCAGTAGTTACTGAAATTAGTGTGTTAAATTAAACAAACACTTCAGAATTATAATGTTAAAACCAGTAAATATTACTTACTTGACCCCCTGTCTCTCTTTCTTTTTTTTCTTTTTTCGGCTCATCCACTATTTTCTCAGTCACCCGCGGTATAATGTCAGTGAAAGGGTTAATTTGAACTGTAGCATCAGTTATCTTATGTGGATGTTCTGGCCTTTCATCTGGGCCTATTAGACCTTCTGTCAGTTTAAGCACATTGTATATTGAGTCACCTGAAAAGGCAATAATATTAATAAGTAAAACACCAAATAAATTATAATCTTAAGCAATTTAAATTACGTGAAGGCTACTTTTTTTAGTCTTTATGTGACAGGATTATTTTCTAAGTCTAATAAGATTCCAACCTCAATGTTGATTTTACTATTACTTTGGGCAAGCAGTAGCAAATCTGAGTATAAATGTGGTACTAACCAATTACTTTGCCGAATATAGTATGCTTATTCTGTAACTCGGGTGTGGCCGCTAAAGTAAAGAAAAACTGAGATCCATTGTCATTCTTGCCAGCATTGGCCATCGCCACCAGCCCACGCCTGTTGAAGCGAAGTCGAGAATGGAATTCATCCTGAAATAACAAAAAAATAATTTAATTTTTAAATTATCTTACAAATATGACAGTGATGAGTTAATAGACATTAAAGAAGAGAATTCTGGGAAGTAAATTAAAACCACCATTATGTTTCTGAGTGATTCAACTGAGTGAATTGAACCAAGCAGTGCTGGCTTGATGATTTGCCTACCTACTTATTGTATAAGAAAAAATAGTTGAAAAAACACAAGTCACACCCAAGACCTAGAGCTTGTTTATTTTTAGTACAACAATATTAACAAAGGCACAGAAGGCCATAAATCAATGCAACCTTATTTCCTAAATCTCAATTGGAATTACTTTAATTTAAAAATGGCAATAAAACCCTGTCTTAAAACTAAATAATTGTTGAATGGCTAACTGTTTACTGAAAAGTTTAATAACATTTGTAGAATATAAGAATTAACAAACTACATAGCTAACCTTAAATGGTTCACCATAGATAGACTCTCCCCCTGTACCGTCACCATTAGGGTCTCCGCCCTGAACAATGAAATCAGGAACCACTCTGTGAAATATTGTACCTGGAAAACATTAATTGAAGAAATTGATTTTTTATATCATATTTAACAAATGAATAAATTTTTAAATTATGAATCTGATCCATGAAAAAAATATCTATGATACTACAAGAATTAAATATGTATATACATTATACATCTAAAATATATTATGTTTTGGTGTTATCCCTTGATTTAAAATTACATTTTATGCTTTGCTTTTAGCAAGTTGGTACTCTATACATATAACTCAGACTTAGATTTTCAGTCTAGCTATAATAAATGCCACAGAAGACCAATCTAGTTATTTTGCAGGAAATATAGAGGTAACACACATCTAATAGTGGAGTAAATAATAAGACATAAATATCAATACCATTATAGTATCCTTCCATACATAGTTGTATGAAGTTCCTGCATGCTTTTGGAGTTTCTTTTGTCCATAATTCTATGTCTATGTCACCAACTGTTGTCTTTAACAGCACCTATAAAATGGATTAACTTACTTAGAAGATTCTTAATAAGTTGATTTAATAATGTTTGTAATGTAAGTATACAAAACTAACTCTATATTTTTTTTAGGTTCTGTCTGCTGATTAAGATTTATACAATGGAATGTTTTCATCAATAAAAATGTTTTGTTTTAAAATGTTCTTACCTTTCCAAGTGCTGGAGGTTCTTGAATATAAATATTACTCATATTTGAATACTTTTACCTATACACAAAACAAAATATACTCAAAGGTAAGACACTGTATTATTTCTGTAATTTTGTCATTGTACAGTCTTTGTTTAAAAGACACACATTGGCCATTCTGCACTCTCAATTCTCAAATCTGAATATTGAAGCCACGAATCTTTAGTTTACAAGTTTAAAAAAAACTTATAATCTATATGAATTAATCAAAATACATAGCAAACAATCTACATACACATAGTAAATACAGAATGAAGATGAACAGAATGCTGTCAACTTTCGTGTTATGCTTTAACATCGGGTGTAGTTGTCAAGACCCAAGTGCCAGTATCAACTATCATATAGTCAATGACATTAGACATAGTGGTAAAGTATTTAAAGTCAAAACAATTTACGTAGGTATTAAAATTAATCTGAAAGTTGAAATTAATATTCTTAAATCTAACTGCTGACCTAAAAACCGCTTTATAACTAATTAACGGTTAATATTAACAGAAGCCTGATAATGAGTTGGAAGGAAGGTTTGCATCGTTCGACTTTCGTTTAAGATAGTTAGATTGTAAATTAATAATGGCCTAATAACGTAGTTAAGTTAATTTGTATTCTTGAAAATAATTCATAATTTGCGGCACTATATTGTTACTCTGATTTCGATTCCTTTTTGTGTTACATACGGAAGTTTCTTTTGGAAGAAATGAAAATACCTACTATTATAGTTATTTGAAGGTGTTATGTATTGTTTTTATTTAAACTTACCCTATAAGTAATTAAATTAATCGTGCAAGCTTATTAATATATTGAGCAATATTTTTTGACTTCAGTATCTGTCGGTCGGGCGCTTAGTCATCACTGCAATCTCGTTACATTAAATACTTATCTTTGTTGATAAAATATACCATTTATATAAAGCAGAAAGTAAGTTGACCGTGAACAGACGGTGCAAGTGAATATTTAAAAAAAATACTTTCGTTTCTTTCATTGTGATTACGTAGTGAATAATGGGAATACATTGTAGAATAAACCTTAAGCCGCCACCAAATGGTGTGTTTTTATCTGGCAGTGTGATCACAGGAGAAATAAAGTACGCCGTAGATGAGGTAACTTCGCTAAAACAAATTACATTGTCTCTCAAAGGCATTGGTACATTACGTATGAAAAAGAGATCGGCATCACGCCACGAGAAGTCCAAAGTAATATATCGCACGGAGGAGTACGTAAACATAAAGCAAGTTCTTTTAAATAAAGATAATGGCGATGGTAATTTAGAGATTGGATCGTATACAACGCCATTTAAATTTGAAATACCTGAACGTATACCACCATCTGCCGACATATTTCGGAAACAGGGCAACCACACATTAAGATACAAAGTTGAATATTTTATTTCAATGAAATTCGAGAAAACAGCATTTTTCTCTTTTACAAAACGGTTCAGAAAAGATATAAAAGTATTATCTGATATTATACCGACGTTGCCCCGGGATGCAATGATTTTCGGGGAGAGAAAAAACCTATTTCAACCATTCTCTAGTACAGATTCTATAGTCAATTTGAAGTCGACAATTTTGTCTTCAGTCGTCCGAGCAGGGGACACTATTCAATTCGAATATGAAATAGCTAACAATAGCCACGTGACAGTGAAGTCAGTCGAAACAAAATTAATTGAATTGGTCAAGTCAAAAAAGCGTAGAAGTCATATAACATTTACGAAAAGTATTGATGGTACAGATTCAAAATCTGGAAGTATCGAAAATGGAAAATCTCAGCAAATGATTACCGATATTAGAGTACCAGAGGATGCGTATACAATTAATGCTTGTAACTTAGCGGAGAGGAGTTATGCCGTTCTCATAACAGTGGGACTACCGATGCCACATATGAACTTTGAGCTTACAATACCAGTAGAAATAATGTTGAAATCAGATAATGTTGTTGAAATCGCAGGTGAGGATGCGCCACCGTCATACTGGGATGTTATGTGTGAAGATAAGAAAGAATTAGAAATGAATAAAAATGATTTAGATGGTGAATGATTTTTATCAGATAAAGGACCTATTTTGAGTTTTATAAATAAGTGGAGGAGGATAAATAAGGATTCAATCTCTTTTCAAAACAATAAAATATATTTAAAGTTGAACTTTTGATAACTAAACGTTAAAAAACTTTTATACTTAAGATTTTGTATGTTGATATTATGAAATAAATATTGTGAATGACCTCCTTTTGTTTATTTGTTTATATAGTTAAATCGGAAAATTAATATGTTTTGTAACTGTATACTAATATACGTTTGGTTATAATAGATATTACAGTTTCATCAGACTTTAATATACGAGCCAAAAAAATAGAAAAACTTAGCAAATATCATCCACTTAAAATATAATTCACTCGTGGAATATTTAAACGGGTGTCATACCGATAGTTATATATGCAACAGGAATAGTATTTAAAAGTATTAATAACAATTACCAAAGATAGTTCTCCAAAACAGGCTGCATTTCAAACTCAAACTCTAAATATCTTTATTCACGTAGGTAAACAAGTACACCTATGAATTGTCAGAAAGAAGATAAATTAATTGTAAATTTACATTTACTACCAGTTCGCAAGTCAAGGGCGTAGAGCGGATAAGGAGAACTGGCAAGAAACTTTCCGCCACTCTTTTTAATCGCCAAGTATTGTCATACAAATTCTTTGAACTGGAGCAAATCAATCCCAAGGATTAGGATCATTTAAGTATTCCTCAAATTTATAAAAAGCTGTAAGATTAATTTTCGTTTAACGAGGGCTTTGAATTTATTTTGTGACAATTCTCGAATTTCGCTTGGGAGTTTGTAGTAATAACTAATACAATTTCCATTAGTGGTTTATCTTTCACAACTCAACCATAACCAATGAAGTCCTTGAAGATACAGTATTCCTACACGACAGTACATGATCAATACATAGACAACATCTATATATATTGTATTTATTTACGTTTATGATACTATCATGAGTTAGTTACATGAATAGTCCTTTATCCCTTCTTAAGCGAAGTTAATTTTATGCACACGAATTAAGTTCGGTGGCGGTTTTTGTATGGAGAAGTTTTTAAATAAAACTCTTAGTTTGAAGCTGGGTAACAATTAATGGTTTCAAATATGGGCTTATAACTAACACAAAATTACGGGTAGAGGGGTTGCGACGCTAAAAAAAACAAACTTGGCTTATCTAAGGATTCATAAATCTAAATGATACTTATAATATATTGTTGGACATTATCGTAAACGAGACTGTTAAAATGCAATTTATAAGTGTGGTAAAATCTAAAGGGTCATATTGGCTTCAAGTGTGATGATCGTTTACATTTTGTTTACGATTCTAATTCATAACTAAAATATTTATATGTAAATTTACTAATGTTGGGTTACATAACTTACGTTAAAGTCAAAATATTAAACGTTTCTTTAAATATGTTTGCCGATGTTACGTTCTGACGCTGGCCATAGACGGACCGCGTGTTGCAGCCGAGGCCGACTGCTGTAGGCGGTCGCGTTGAAGTCGAACACCACTGCAACACGACCGCATAATGCAGTCGACTACGACTGCTTGGAGCAGTTGTGTTCGACCGCAAAATAATACTGATGCGAGTTCTAGAGCAGTCGGTATCGACTGCAACATGCGGTCCGTCTATGGCCAGCGTTACAGGACATTAATATAGTCCTCCTTTATTCTTTCCCAAGGTTTACCTAGGAGTACAAGAACCTTTTATTCGAATTTTTCGCAATTATAACGGATTAAACTAGTAAGTTTATCCGGAGCTGGATATATTCGGTAGTGGGTTAGTCAATTAAGAAAGCATTGTTAAGAGACTATCTCATATCTAATTCGCTGTTTGTTGGTAATTTTTTTTGTTTATTGTATAGTAGTGACTACTAGTATTTTTATTTTATTTATATTTTTGGTGTTTAATAAAACACTTTTTTTACGGATTATAGTTATGAAATTTAAACTTATAATTATTTTACATAATTTTAATTTTTTTTCCGACGTTTCGCGTGCTTTACAGCGTGCGTGGTCACCACAGAACACAATTACCTAAAGGTGGTGGTGGTCACGGTGACTGAAGACAAAAGGTGTTGAATGTCAAAAAGTATCACAGCTGTAGAAAAAGTTATGTTATCTGTATTTATTTCCCCGGATTTGATATCGACTAAAAGATGAAGGGTTTTTCTTTGTTTTAATCTTTTATTAAAATTTTAATGTATCCCATCCACATAGAGTTAACACTATAGCGACTGCTTAATCTATAATAGTAATAAATGAAAACTATTGATAAAAATTTCTTAATTAAAGCGTGATGCATATCACGTAGAATAAAAAATGTACGACCAATTAGTCTGTGTTTATGTTAGACATCTTTATCTTGTTACTTACAGACCTACTACTTACTCGCAGTTAAAATAAAATATGACAGATAACATATCCGACAAAATATAACTCAGTAAGTTGATAGAACAAGATGGTAAAGTAACTTCCGTCTTTTCTTCAAGGAATAATGTCCGAAAAATAATGTTGGATGTATGTGACTGTGTTAACTCCAAAGTAAAACGACGCATGGATTTTTCTAGAAAAATGTTAAATTTTATGTTATTATTTTTATTACGTTTCAAATAAACCCTTTTGTTTGCTTGTATAGCAATTTTCATAATAACAGAATATGAATTAAAAAAGTTTTGACAAAAAAACTAACATTGATTATTTGAAATGGCTGCCCTGTAAAGTTTACTATTTGTCAGATCCGTCACTGTTCTACGACTATGACGATTTGTCAGAAGTGAAACTTCTTTGGCAAACTAATTTTTAACTCTTGTTCATATTTATACAAATCTTTATCTAAAACTAGATTTCCGAGACTTAGAGGAAGCGAAAAAGGAAGATATGTTAGGAATTTAATTGTCAAAAGTATCGAAAATTATTACAAATAATGAATTTAATTTTTTTCTTCGATAATAAAAAGACGTGACATTTTAATTTACAATTCATCATTTGAGATTACAATAAATTATTTTGCATAAAACAAAATACTAATATTTCATAAATTCTCTGCACGAAATTTTAATAATAGAATTTCTATAACGTAATTAACCCTTCTCACTCTCTCTTTCCCTTTTCTTCGACAAAAACACTGCACTTCGCGACTCTAAAATTATTAATATTGCGTTTATTCATTCGTATATATTAAGTTACGTAAAGAGATTCTGAAACTTGAGAATGGTGAATGGCTATCAAGTATCAATTTAATTTTAAGTACAGTAAAATCTCTTTATTCGCGGGGTATACGTTCCATAAATATGCCGCGAATACAGAAACCGTGAATACAGAATGGTAATTTATATGGGTTTATAGGGGATACGTTCCTAGGTGCCAAAATAAAAAACACAAATATATAAGAAAATCAATTTTATTGATGTTATTGAACATTTTGATTATACTGACTGACTGAACAGACTGATACTCAGCAGTCGCATTAGCAATTTGCCTCTTAAAATTAAGACTTCGTTCCATAGATGGATCAATGTTCATAAAAAAATCGCAAAGCTCATTTGCCATTCTTAAACCAAAGTCAAAGTTTGAACTTGCACGGATTCTTCGTCATTTTCCGCAGTCAGAGCAGGCCATAAGTTTTTTTCCAGCATGACATCAATGTGTGTGGTTTCAGTTCGTCCAATGATTATTTTATGTTTACGATGCATTTTGCTACGTCAAATTTCTTCCAGCATTCCATAACATTCATATCAGGATTACACTCCATATTATCTATATGATATTGCGTTAAACACCTATTGGAATATTGTATGACATTTTAGATCGGATAGATCCGCGAATAAAGAAATTGGGTTGCATTTTTTTAATCTGCGAATAGTGAAAACGCGAATAAAGGGAGCGGCGCGAATAGGGAGCTTTTACTGTATAAGCATAAATTAGTTACTAAAATGAAATTGATTCATCTTTAATTATGTGGGCCGATCCCAGCGGCACTGCAATGCCGGGCCGACCCGTGACAGGAGTGGAGCGAGCCCCGAACATCCCGTCAGTTTCCAAAAATCAGTTTAATATACTGGTCCCGCTATGCGGGAACTTTCAGATATTAAGCTGAAAAGAACAGATACTACACTTTGATCTTAGCCAAAAGGCCGAGAAGCGATACTAAACTTATATACTCTAGAGTATATACGGCAGAAAGGAAATACTGCGATAGCGGCATTCAGTAAAAGAACAAAATATCTAACGACATCTACTGGCGCTGCTCTGTACTACACGGTTTTTGGCGTATTAAAACGCCATCTACGAGAAATTATACTATAACTCTTGGTTTTATCATGACTTATATGACCACATGCTACAATACAATGTTATAATAATCAATGTTTAAAATATAGTTAATTATATTAATTTTATGTTAAGCTACAACCTAATATAAAAATAGTAAAAATTGTAATACAAATTATAAGACAGAAGGGCAAAAGACAGAAAGCAATCTGACCTTACTATAATTAAGAAATCGGAGACCAGTTCATTAACACACTTATGTTGCTTTGACCTCAGGGTTAGGGTCGTGTACTTGATCGATAAGATATAATTTCGTAAAGTAATTATGAGCTTATACTAGTTGTATCTGTTCCGTAAACTAAGGCTATGTATGTTTTGCGTATATTACATCGTGCTAAGTCTCGTTTCTGAATATTACCTACGCTACGTATGACTTCCGTATGTCAAATCCAATATATTTTTTACTAAATACGGGAACTACACTTAGCGCTTATATTCTTAGATTCGATTAATACCATATACTACTAATAATTCGGTTCCAAAAAGGTTCTCATTTGTCAGAAGTATGACTGTATGTAACAAATTTTTGCAATATAATTTTTGATAATCAGAACCTTACAGTATCTATATAATTTTTATATATAGCACACATATATTGCTATACATACATACATATAGTTTGCGTTTCATTAAATTTTTTAAAGATAAGTGATGATGA